AGGAGGAGGAGGGGATGCAATGGGAGGGGAAGATCAAAGACAAAACAAAACAAAACAAAACCAACATGAGAATGAACCAAGGAAAGAGCTTTGTACTTATTGGGAAACCCGAACGCCTCTAGCCCAGCCGAGCGCGTAGCTGGGTAGGTAAAGGTGAGGAACGGACGGGGTAGCTTCCAGGGCCGGCCGACGCCCATACCTAGGTAGGTACTTCGTAAGTACTGTCTGATTTCTTGCTGCATGACATGACCTTGCATCGTGATTTGTGATGCCTCTGGTCTGGTCTGGTCTGGCTGGAGCGTAGACCTCGGCCCGGGGCACTGGCTGACTGGCTGATCTAATATCTCCCTGAAGCGAGAGCGAGAGCTTGAGAGAGCTTATCGAAGGAAGGGGGAAAGGGGAGGATGACTGACTCAGGGCAGGGCAGATGAAGGAAAAGATGGCAGAAACTCGAGTCCGGTTGAAGTTGACTCGGACCGGACGGAGGAAAGTTGCCGATCGATGATCTGCGAACCAATGACTTTATGTACGTCATGAGAGGGGCCGGGACGGTCGGTACCTCGAAACTTGAAAGAGGGATCTTGGGGATTGTCGGCTTGGCTATATACAGTACCGGTACGAATGGCCGAGCCCCACCTCGGGTGTCTTATCGTCTTCTCCTTATCCGTTAATATGACTAAGATGGAGTGTTAAGGTTAAGAACCTCGAGCTTGTTTTGACATTGCATTTCTCTCTCCCTCTCTCTAAGTACCGTACTGGTACCTACCTACCTACCCACATTACTTGATCACTTGATCATCAACACTGCACTGTTACATCCCGATTCCCCATATCATCACAATGTCCATCTCCAACGAGGCTCTGCAGAAGGTATGAACCTCCTCACCCATATCGAGGCGGACCCTTCCACACATGTAATGTACCATGTCCCAGCCTACTCATATCGAATAGCTAGCCCAGGAGATTGGAAACCAGGCGGCACAGTCCCAGCAGCAAATCGGCGTCGTCAGGTCTCAGATCAACTTCAAGACCATCGAGATGCGCAAGCTGGCCTTGACCTCCAAGGAACTCGATGAGCTGCCCTCTGATACCCCAACATACGAAGGGGTGGGCAAGATGTAGGTCTCTTTTCTTACATCCCAACTTCCCCTTCTCAGTCGCCTTCTCACATTCTGTGGAAACAATCTCATTGCTTTCCCCTTGAACGTGTCTCTCACCAGGCACCTGGACCCACCCCCACCCAGCAACACCCAGCAACACCCAGCAACACCCATCACGAGACCTCCCCCCCTCCCCTCCCCCCACGTCTCGGAAAAGCCATCGCAAATTTAACATCGCCCCATAGGTTCGTCTTCAGTCCCACCGCCGATATCAACAGCCGCCTGAAGACCGAAACCAAAACCCTCTCGTCTGACGTCGAGAATCTAAACAAGAGGCTGCATTACCTGGAAACGACTTTCAAAAATAGTCAGGCGCACATGGACCAGATCCTCAAGAGCGGGGGACGCGCATGAGGCAAGAGGAAAGAGCCGTTCCCATCATGTCCGTTTCTACTTGACCTGTATCTGAAGCTTCTGGAATTGAGTATTCGGAATCACATCTCGGGCAAGAGGTGTGCGTTTGCTACAGTGCCAGGTGCCACTTCATGGCGGTGGGTAGGGTCGCACAGCCAGACTCAAATCTGGGTCGATGGGAATTGGGATCGAAAAAGCAGCAAGCAAGAACTTTTCAGCGCCAGAAGTAGTTACAGCAGAACCAGGCCAGTTTTTCACGCTGATGCCACCGGCCAGAGGGCACAGCATGAGATTCGCTGTCGCGGATTGGGGAGCTGTACACCGCTAGCTGACCAGATGGATGCGTAGTGACTCAGCTCTGCGTGGCTGGTCGGGAAGAGAGAAGAAAACGAAAAGAAATGCATACACACGAATCACATGCACACCCGAGAAAATCCCTTCTTCGTAATTGCTTTCATATCCACCACTTATCGGGTGCGGTCTGTGCAGATTTAAGCACCAAGTGAAGAAGCAACAGGTGAAGTGAAGCCCGTTGAGCAAGCAAGCAGGCGCGCGCCTCTCGCTAAAACCAAATCATTAAACATATCCGGCCTTGCTCTCCCCATAAGCAACACAAAAGCCACCCTCTGAAATGATCCGGGTCCTATGCAATGACCGACCGACCCATCGCATCCCCCGTCCCCTCAGTCCTCTCTCACCCCAAACCAAGTCCTCCCCAACACTACCGAAAACACGCGAGCCGGCCAGAACCCCCTACCAAGGAAACCCAGGCAGCCAATGTAACTGCTGTTGTATTGCATGAACACAGTCAGAACTAACCAGCTAAATAACTAACTAACTAACTAACTCACTAACCAAGCAAACCACCAGCCGTCCCTATGGACAGTACCTGAGGATCTAAGTATCCAAGCATATAATTATATATAGGTAATTAAGGCTGATCCCGCGGCCCACCTGTGTGCCCCTGCCCCTGTGCCGCCGTCAGTTCGTCGGTGAGAGAACCTACCTACCTACCTACCTACCTACCTACCTAACTTACCTCTCTCTCTCCCTCCCTAGCCTTTCTACCTGCCTACCTGCCTATCTGCCTAGCTAGCAATCGTGGAAATTGACCTCCCACGACTTGACTTTTGAAGAACCCTGAAAGTCGGGAGGTCGATTCCCACTATTAGATATTGGATCTTGGATCTTGGATCTTGGATCTCGACGGAGAACGGTCGATATATGCAGTTTACGGGTACTTACCTACCTCGAGCCTGCTGCGCTGCCGGGTTGCAGAGTAAACACGTAAACACGTACACACACACACACTCATATATATATATTTATATATATATATACATACCCAGCTAGAGCTGTGCCACACCCTCACATACCGAAGTATCTATTGCCGAGCTTACGTCCCTCGACCCCCCTTCCCTTCCCTCCGCTCCCCCGATACCGTGTAGGTTGTTGGTTGTTGTTGGGCTGAGACGCATCGAATCAAGCCACTCACTCGGCTCGCCGCTGTAGTCCTTCCTGAGCTGCCCTTAAAAACCCGCCCATGCCCACTCGCTCGCCCATCGATCGGAAAACCTGACCTGCTGACACCGACTGTTTCTTCCGCGCGACTCCTCCCTCTTTGGCATCCATCAGCGGATACAGCTCTGCTCTGCTCTTTTCTTCTCTCCTTTTCTTTTCTTTTCTTGAATCTTCACACTCGAGTTTCCTGCCTGTCGAGAGGGAAGGAAAGAAAAGAAAAGAAGGAAGGAAAGGAAGAAAGAAAGCAAGCAAGAAGGACATCGCTCGGGGAGGAGCCCATCTATAGAATAGTGAGGTCCATCGCTGACCTCTCAGCTACAAGGCCCGACCTCGAACATCAGCCCTGGTAATAGACCCAACGCCGCACTCAAAACACAAACACAAACCCAGCGAGAAAGACAAGCACAGTCTGGTTGCTCTCCCCAGAGATCACTCCCGAGCCAAGAGACCTCGTCAGTAGAAAAAGAGAAAGGGAAGGGAAAAAATGTCCTACAGCACCTACTCAGAAGAAGACGACTTGGACATCCGCATCCGTCGCGGACGCGTCTCCCCCCAGCCCGTCATCTTCCCCGAGCATCGTTATCGCCCAGCGCCTCGCCCCTACTATGGCGAGCCCCAGCACGCCGGCACAGCCTACCTCGTGCCCGCCATCACAGCATCGGCTATGCACCGCTCCCGCTCCACCGGCCACAGACGGCCCATCTCCCCTCCGCTGCCATCTCCGCAGCAGGCACCCATCGTGATCAACAACCGCATCTACAACGACTACGAGGACGACGACTACCTGGCCCTCGCGCCCCACCAGCGCCGAAGCTCCCACTCCCGAAGCCGGAGCCGGCCCCAGAGCTTCGTCGCCGATCCCAGGGACCAGTATGAGCTCGAGCGCACGCGGAGGGAGCTGGAGCAGTACCGCGCAGTACACACCCGAGACGAGTACGAGCGTGACAAGACCCGGCGCGAGCTGGAAGCCTACCGGGCCGTGCACACGCGGGACGAGTACGAGATGGAGAAGACGCGCCGGGAGCTCGAGCTCTACAAGCTCGAGAAGGACAGGCAGAAGGACGAAGACCGCATGAAGAAGCACATCGCTGCGGTCAAGGAGGACATTGAGCTCCAGAAGGCGAAGAAGGAGTTGCAGGATTACAAGGCGTCAAAGGAGAAGGCGGCTGAGGAGGCAAGGCTCAAGAGGGAGTCGGAGATGCAGCAGTTGCTGGCGGAGAAGAAGGCCGAGGATGAGAGGAAGAGGGCGAAGAAGGAGGCGGATGCCGCGATCGAGAAGTACAAGACTGAGCAGGCGGAGAAGGCGGCCAAGGAGAAGAAGGAGGCCGAGGAGGAGAAGAAGAGGGCGAAGAAGGAGGCAGATGCTGCGATCGAGAAGTACAAGGTTGAGCAGGCGGAGAAGGCGGCCAAGGAGAAGAAGGAGAAGGAGGCTAGGGAGAAGGAGTATCAGACTCGCTTGCAGGAGGATCTGCGCAGGTCTGGAATGAACGAGAGACAGATTGCGGCGGTTCTCAAGAAGGATAAGGGCATTGATCCGAATCGGCCAACTTACACGCGCATGTCGAGGAGACATTTGTCGATCGAGACGCTGAACCGGTATCGCATCGATTATGAGTTTGATCAGGTAATTTGGCTGCTCCCTCTCGTGCACTCGTCCCTCGGCTAACCAGCAGCAGGACCCGGATTATGTGTTGATTAAGCGATGGGTACCGGAATATGAGCAAGACTTCCTGTGGACTCGTACGCGAGAGATTCGGGAGCGCCGACAGCCGGTTGTGCTGTCTCTCGAAGGCAAAAAACACCACCATCATGAAACCGAGCTTGAGCTCGTGCGCAAGAAGAAGCATGAGAGGAAGCCTTCTCCTTCTCCGCTGCTCACCTTCTTGGCCGGGGGCAGGAGGTAAAAGATCGAGGCAGGATTCGGATGACCAGGAACGCAAGTGGAGAACAGACAGCGGGAAAGGGGATGGAAATTGTGGTTGCGAGATTTTATGAGACGCTTGAAATTGGATACGCTTCATGACCTTGAAATACCCACTCAATGAATACATTCAGACAGTTAAAACAACAACTTGAATAAAAGCGGAAGAGTACTGATACCTATGTAAAACTCTCAGACTGGCAACAAAAGGTGGCGCATCGCTGGACGGCTTCCTGCACTCCGCAAAGATTGAGTGGTATCCTGAATATTGTACAAAAGCAGTGATACTACAGCGCCCTAGTCTCAGTACGCGTGAACGCCATCTCAGCTCTCCTTATAAGCTCCTCATAAAGCGTCCAGGCCAGGGCAGAGCTCACAGCTTTCCGGCCCATCCTGAGGCCCAAGCCATCAAATAGACTCTTGAAGCCATCTTGCAGGATCATCTTCCGCCCGGCATGAACTATATTGTGGTATTGCCTCGGCTGCAGCTGTATCCGCGTCTTGATCGCATCGAAGGGGTTCGTTAGGGCAGTTGCAAGCCCCGCAGCCACTATGCCCGACCCGAAGTTGATAGACGCGGAGGTTGATCCGCTCATGCCCTGTGCGAGCTCGCCTGCTATCGGCACTTTGTGGAGGAGGAGACTGAGCTGCTTTTTGGACTGCTCGTAGAAGAGGATGTAGAGGCCAGCGTACGGGGCGTCTCTGATGGCCGTTGCCCCCAAGCCCACGAAGAACCCTTTCAAGCCCTCCGTCTTGAAAATGTCTCTGCTAGCCTCGGCGATTGACTTGTAGGCGTAGTAGCTCGACTCGTACCGGACTTTGATGACAGTCATGGGCATCAGGATGAAGCCCGCTCCCGCTCTGGCAACAGCTCCGGTGGTAAGGTTCGCGATGTTCGACAGCTTTGGCAGAGCAGAGGAGTGGCTCGGGAGTACATTCTGGTCTGTTGCTCCTATGCTCCGTAACAAATTCGACCGCGCAACATTCTGCCGCAGGGAGTTTAGGCTTGTGAAGTAGATGGCGGATCCGAAGCCTGTGCGTAAAGCAGAGGGAAGCGTTCCTCGCCAGAAGGAGCGGATCGAGTTCGGGGATGTTGAGATCTCGCGGATGGTGGCTAGGAGGGAGGTGTGTCCGGATTGCTGGACGCGGGTTTTGAGGAGGTCGGCTGGTTGGAGGAGGACTGCGGAGAGGATGCCAGACCCCAGACCAGCTGCGAAGCTTTGGGGGTAGTCAGCGGATTGATCGTGAGGTATGGGAAAGTGGCAGCTCTCAAGATTGCGTTAGACTGCGAGGAAAACAAAAAATCATTTGGATAATACATACTGGAATGCTTCCGAAAGTCAGCAGCCTGGTCGAGTCCAAGAGAGGAAGAACTTACAAGTTGACGATTTCCCGGCTGAGCCGCCATTGGACATTTCGTAATAATTTACAAGGACATTGTCTGATTCAAATGCTTATTATGCTCCGGCACCTAGGCAGGCTCCATATCCTTCTATATGTGTGGTTGCTGGTGGGCTTCTGGTTGGGAGTAAGAAGCGGACAATATGTTTAGAAAGAGGCTGAACTTTCGGCTCCAAAGCTTGGGACTTGGGACCCGAATGTGAACGTCATCCATCCATCCACGTGCACAGATTGAACGTCAAGGCGAGGGTGACTCTGATTCTTTTACGAAAACACATCTGCTTCGATCAGAGAGAATATTGAAATGTCTAGCTTTGATTACCAAAGTCGGTTTTACAACATAGTATTGGTGTGTTTGGAGGATATCGAGTGTTAATAAGGATCTGTATCTCGTCTATTTTTACTTTGTAGTTCCACTCAACTACCAACTCTTCTGTTCTTTGAGCAGCCCAGATTCTTCTCTCTTGTGTTTTCTTTTGATGCATTTCCAGTGCTCCTAATCTTGACTCTTAAAAATTCCGAAGTAGAAAGGAAGCTTTCAATTCAATTCATGTTTTATCGAATAACAGCCCCCATCCTTCATCGACGGCCTTGCAACTGAATTCAGAATGGCCATTGCAGTATGTACTCTCATTGCAAATAAACAGACCGGATCACTGAAGCCCTGCAGGCTATCGGGCAGTTATGCTCAACAGCATCTATGAGCCACAACCTGGCTCTCTGTCAAGTCCTCGTCAAGAAAGCAGTTGATGCCGGAGCTAAGGTACGGCACCTCCAATTGCCACACCTTTAAGGGCGTATCTCACTGTCTTATAGGCTCTTTTCCTCCCCGAAGCTACAGTAAGCTTTGTCTATCAATGAGCCACCGATCTGTCAAACAATTCATGTTATCTTCCAAGAAACCCGCCTCTCCATAACTTTCATTTGAAGTGCGCAAAACCTTACAAACAACTAACAGGACTACATCGCCTCCTCGCCCCAAGAATCCCTCTCCCTCGCCCGTCCCATGGCTAGCTCACCTTTTCTCCTCGGTCTCCAATCCTCTGCCAAAGCCTCGTCTCTCGCCATAAACGTCGGCATCCACGTGCCTCTCCCCTCTGGGAAGATGGCCAACCGTAGCGTCTGGATCAACGAAAACGGAGACATCCAGTCCCACTACGACAAACTCCATCTCTTCGACTACGGAGCCCTCAAAGAGAGCGCCAGCGTGGAGGGTGGAAAGGAGATTGTAGAGCCTGTAGATACGGTCGTTGGACGGGTCGGCTTGATGATCTGTTTTGATGTGAGTTACTTCACAACTTCCTAATACATCTCATGTTTCAAGACTGAAGCTGCATTCCAAATCGAAGCTGATATATGTGTAAAACACCTAGCTCCGATTCCCCGAGCTCTCCCTAGCCCTGTCCCGCAAAAACGCGCAAATCTTGACGTACCCCTCCGCCTTCACAGTCCCCACAGGCAAAGTCCACTGGGCACCCCTCCTCACAGCCCGGGCCATAGAGTCCCAAGCCTACGTGATAGCCGCCGCGCAAGTCGGCGCCCACAACCCCCAAAGAACGAGCTATGGCCATTCCATGGTCGTTAGTCCCTGGGGAGAAGTACTGCTCGATATGGCTGGCGAGCAAAGCGAGTCGGGCGGGGGGCAACCGGAGATTGGAATCGTGGATATCGATCTCGAGATGTTAGAGGGTGTGAGGAGCAGAATGCCGTTGGTGAGGCGAGTGTGAGTCCTCTTTTTGCTTGCACGTGAGACGTGTGAAAATGGAAACGTGAGTAGAGAAGGAATATACGCTGACAAGTAGTAGGGACGTCTACCCCGAATTTTAACTTTCTAGCTTGATGTAATAAAACAAAGGAGCGCAAGCGGGGCGTGGTAGCGAGGCCTAATCCAAACAAATTTCGGACTCCCTTTCCTGAGGCCAGACGACGGAGAAGGGTTTTTGTTGCACGTCGCATTCCAAGTCCCTGGTATTCCGGTACTTTAAAATGTGACCAATGCTCCAGGAATCGCGGTACTACTAAATGTCGTTAATGTCCCGGTCCCAGTCCCAGTCTCAGTCCCGCCCGAACTTTGAACTCACCCGCCTGTCTCCGTAAGCGAGCCCGGGACAAAGATATTTTTGCTGCACAACGCACACATTGTCAAACCAGGTCTTAGGACATTGAAATTTCCTGGCATGGATCCAAGTCTCGACCCTTTAAGCTGCAGCTTGAAACTTTCTGAGACTTGGGATTTGGCTTAACAACATTTCCAACAATACGGCTGTGTTAAAGATGGAAATCGAGCGGCGTATAGCTCTTTCTAAGTACCTATTGAAAAGTCTGAAGTCTATAAAGCCTCTTTCTTCCCAAACGCCCACGATGCTTGGTTGATAGCTCAGCAATGCCTCGCTATTTTTTATGATCCCTGCCATCTTTGTGTCCTGCGGGCAATCATGCCGTCTGAACTCAACTCATCTCGCTTCTACCTGGTATCATGGTATATCCCCGCCCCTCACCTCATCATCACGCTCCCGATACCACCCCTTGCCGTACCTACAACTCCTTCTTCGCATCCCCATTTCCCCCAATCCGCGATTTCTCCCGCTTAGCATAGATAGTCGCCGTAAATGGATCCTCAAATCTCAACGCAATCAAGTAAACGACCAACACCTCCACCGTCAGGAGAATACCCGCTGGCTTCCCGAACAGAATCGCGGTCCCCAGAAAGCTCATGGTACTCCCATAATACATCGGGCTCTGCGTGACACTAAAAGGAAACCCCGTCACGATATCATCCATCAGGATGCCAAAGTAGTCGCCGAGATACGTGCCCGTGATGCCCAGCGCCCACATGGAGGAGAGCACGAGCAAGTTGCCGGTGGCGAGCAGCGCGTAGGAGATGTAAGTCGCAAGGGGGGTCTCGAGGAGCGGGTGGGAGGGCTGGGCGCGTAGGGCTCGTTCGTAGAGGAGGTCGCGGAAAATGCCCAGGAGGAAGATGGTGACGGCGAGGCCATAGCAGCCATGGCGGGCGTTACCGCCGGCGAGCTTGGTTAGGATTTTATTGTGGTATTCTGATGGTGCGTTAGGGCTTTGCTGGAGAGAGGATGGGCGGGTTGGCGGTGCTACCTTGTCGGGCTACAGTGCTGAGGAGTGTTAGTGACTATTCTGGTGTTGCCAGGAGGAGAGGAAGCAAAAAAATAGAATTGAATCTCACTTCCAGAAGATGGGATTGAAGGCAATGGATGCTGCCGCAACTGAAAGGTTTGTGAGCTTCAAACTGCCTGGCAGGCTGGTTTTGGTTCTTGTTGAACATACTTGCCAGACTCTTCTGGTCAAAGTCAACCAGGCCTTTGTTTTGCATCATGTCTTTTTTTCGGTTTAATGTGCTGACGATCTGAATGATTTCTGTGAATCGAGAGATGTGGTGTCTGAGGATGCGTTCAACGGTGGTGTTGTTAATTCTAAGTTGGAGCTCGCTTGCCAGGAACGTGGGGAAGAAGTGGATTTTACTGTAGCAGCAGCGAATCACTCTTCATGACGTCGAAGTGAGCATAGTGGAGCTGCCGAGAAGGAGCTTGTAGATCATCCAAACATCTACCGAAATCAGTGGAAACGATAATTGATGACTTATCTGTCCAGAGCTAAATCTATGCCTTCTAAAGACTCATGAGGCGAGCGTGCCCGAATATGCAAGTCCATCGTTAAATGCGCCCTCCCTGGATATCGTTGCAGACCATTGTCGCCTGTGATAACGCCTAACGCCCACCCTGCTTCCAAAGTTAAATATAAAACAGCAATGGTTATTGCCGCCGCGTTCTCGTCTTTTTCGCCGTTGTTGCTGCATCTTCTTCCTCTTCGTCTTGCCCCTTTTTGAGATCCTCAACCAGCCCCCATTCCTCCTTGTCGTACCAGTCCTCGCCATCTGACATATCCCGGTTGGCACCAACATGTCCTTCGGCTTTAGCCCATTTGAAAACCAACTTTCGGTAACGATCCGCTCTCAGTAAACCGTCGTATATTTTTTGAGCGCCGCGACATATTTCCTCCTGCTTTTGGATGTACAATTGAAGAAGCCTTCGGGTTTCGTCCGCTTCAGGCGGAGGTAAACCAACATTGCGATCTGGACGAGAGAATGCCGGGGCCAGGAAGTATGGATGAATGAACATCTCTTGACCGGAATCCGGTGTTACCGATCTGGTTCGAATCGTGTTGTTGTCTGACGCCGCTTGAGCCTGGGCGCGAGTCCTCATACGGCGCGGCGGTGGGACATCCTCATGATCGCCCTCCGGTTCGCCATCTGGCATTTCTGTATCCTCTGGCAGTACTTGGTGTCCATTAGGAGCTTCCTTTGAAATTTTGACTTCTTCCATAGCAGGCCCCGTGTGGGCCTCGCCATTTCGCTCCACGGGCCCAGGCGCGCCTGTAACCCTTCCACTGTTTATTCCGTTCGAATGCGCAGAAGATCCTACCACCATATCACCATCTGCACCATTCTCGATCGTCTGCATTGGTCCTTCTTGACTACCCTCTCTAGACCTGTCGTCTATTACCTGCATTCCCTCTGGATGCTCAACTTCTTCTGAAGCCAGCGTTCCGGTTGATACCTGATCAGCCTCTACCCTAGGAATCTCTTTCTCAAGCGTATTTCCATGAACACGCTCCCGTTCATCGAGGAAAAGTGCAAAATCGTTGTCTGTCTCGACACTTGCGCAGGGATACCAAGTATTGTCACCGCTCAGTTTAGTCAATAAATGCTTTATTTTCCACAGAGAGGCCTTTTCTTTCTGGACCATTTCACCCGCAGTTCGAGTCAACTCAGTTAACGTTTTGGATGTGAAGGGCTTCGAGAGGGTAGGATGATGAGGCAAATCGGAAGCTGCTGTTAATGGAACAAGTAGATCTGGTCGCAAAGTCTCAGCAGGAATCTTATATAAATCTGGGTACAGTTGCTCCTACTCTCAACCTTGATATCGGAGTATGGGTCCTTCTCGGCCGCGGCAGCAATTGCGGTTTGCGCTCTCTCGTCGTCCTCATCGCTGTCAACTTCGTACCCGTCTTCGTCAATGAGGGGATGGTTTCGAAATATTATATCTCTCTGGTAGCCCGCGTGCTCGATGCTCTGTTAAAATGTTAGTGTGTGGGATGTAGGGGGTCTGCCAGAGCCACCCACCCTCCTGTAGACTTGAGGGCCACTCGGGGCCGCCAATTGGCCCTCGTGCACATATCGCGCTTTCTTTCGCAGCTTATTTCCTCGGTTGGTGAGGTTCTCAATTTCATTTTCGGAGTCCGAATCTGCGTGGCCTCTTGGTCAGAATTGTAGTGGGTGAAGCCCAGGGTTGGGGATCTGTACCGTAGGCCTTTCTCTTGACGGCCTTTTTCATGCCGGCAATCGTCTCTGCAAAGATCGCAGCCTGCGACGCCATTTTGGCAGTTAAGAAGTATGTGTAGTAATAATATAGGCTTTCAACCCGAAGCTGTGTGTTGTGGTCGGGTTTGCGCGCAGCTGCAGTAGTCCGCTGGGGTGGTTCGAGGCCAGGTTCACAAAGGTACCGATGTGGATGGAAACGAACATTCGTTCGAGATTTCGAAATATATGTCGAGTGTAAAGCGACAATGTGCTCGAGTCACAAGTATTGCGTGTCGTGCGGGTGAGGTGCAGAGGTTCGCAAGTCGGCAACTAGGTAGATCAGAGTCTCCAGCCTTATCCGTACGCCTTTACTAGCGTTGTTTATTTATGTGGACCAAGGCCAGCCACATGAACTATCTTACCAACCAAGGGTCAAAACACCTCCACGATAGCGACAGCAAGCAAGCTGCCATATATTCGGCGACGACATCGGTTTTTGGGGATATTCGAGCTTTTGTCTGTCTGCGTGAAGGCTGCTAGGGCATGGGAATCGCTTCCAGCTAATTGGAACGGTTTCAGTCCTGCGACATTGAAGCGGGCACATCTACGAGACAACGAAAAGAGAACAAAGGCATCAGTTCAAGGAACTCCTTTGCATATGGAGAAGCCACAAATCAGGCGCTATGGATGGGTACCCGCCAGCCTACGTGGCTCATAACATACCCCTTTTGGTCGTTTCTGGTCTGGGCTACGGCACCGAGGAGGAACTCAAGCTCAAGCTCAAGGATGAGAGCAGGATAATTTCAGAAGTGCCGTCGCTGGTCACCGAGGATGCCCTCACACTGCTACAGCTCTTCAAGGACGGAGATGCTTCTGATCTGGCATGGAACGCGCGGGAGCATAGTGGGAGGAACAAATTTCGAGTGAAGACAGTCGGAAGGGTAGTTACGCAGCCTCAGTGTATCTTCGTACAGCCACTGAAGCTTACTAGGAATACATGTTACCAACCCGCAGCGCTCAACTCTCTGCTCATTTCCAGACTCCAAGTCCAATCACGAAACCAGTCCTTCACTCTGCATTGTCGCCTCTAAGTCCTCCTTCGAAACTGTTCCCAGACGGCCTGTTTACCAGCGACTGGATCGACAAGCACCAAGACCAGGTCCCCAGCGCCTTCATATCATTCTATACGTTTACTTCTGATCCAAAGCTATCTACATCAAATGACAACCAGCTGAAGACGGATATAAACAACATCAAGAAGACGCTGAGCCAATCTGGTTACAAGACTCGTCTAGTAGTTGCTCTGCTCAGCGAAAAATCCATCGTGCAGTCTCCAGACGTGGAAGAGCGTCTTGCCAGTATTCGCAAGGCTACGGGGCTGGACTCGAAGACCGCAATTTTCTTCTTGCCTCCGCAAAGCTCGGCAGTTGAGCTGCAAGCATTTGTCGATACGATCGTCACCACTATATATCCCATATGTATCGAATACTACAGGGATCTTAGCAAACATTCCAGAAGGAAACGGAACCGAGGAGTTATTCCTCCACCAACACTTCCCCCAACGTCAGGCACCTCCCAGACGTTGCCCAGCCAAGGCTGGAATGTTCGATATGATTTCAAGTTGGGAGTTTTTGCAGAATTTCGACAGGAGATGGACTCAGCTGTAAGGTCATATGAGAGTGGATATGAAGCATTGCTTGGGCCCGATGTTCTTGAGGCAATCGCAAGCTGGAGCCCGCGATGGAACGAAGCTCGACTATTAGCCGATATTTTCGCTCTTCGGATCTTGCGTTGTTTACTTTGGAATGGGAATACGACAGCAGCTGTCCGACGCTGGCAAATGCATCGGGAGAGGATACGAGATTTCGTTGATCGCAGGGGCAAAGGATCTTCAACATATGGCTGGGAGGCATGGGAAGCGCGGTGGGCGACAGTGATGGCTGAAATGATCCAGAAAGTCTCCATTGTTGAATTTGGAGGCCCTTCGACATTCTTGCAAGCAGAGAAGAGCATTGTAATTGGTGAACGTATACAGCCATGGGAATACCTACACCACCCAGGGTACTGGTTCAAATCTGCTTTAGTGCATTTAATAAATCGAAGGGTGCGGGCTCAGGCCATCCCAGAAGAAGACAGGAATCCTCCTGGGTCATCACCAGCGTCCTCGATTGCCAACAAGGCATATACGTACGATACATACCTCTGCCCGGAACCTCACGACGAAATGCCACGCTCTGGACGCCCAGGAGTCGATCATTCTGCCCTCATAATCGATGTACTGACGAAAGCCATATCTGAATTTCAAAAAAGAGGTCAGTCCCGTCTCGTTCAGGAATTGCATCTTCAGTCGGCAAAGGAGAGCATGAAGCAAGAAAAATGGGATGATGCAGTGAGGATACTTCGCCCATTATGGCAGAAAATGTCATTCAGGGCAGAGGGCTGGTGGAACGCGGCCGAAGAAATCAGTTGGGCTCTGAGAAAAGCTGCTGCATGTGCTGGTGATGGCGGATCCATTGTTGCCGTGGACTGGGAGCTGATGAACAGAAGTGAGTTGATCAAGACCCGTGCCCGGCTAACTACTAACGTATTCCAGGCTTCACACATCATCCCAGTTGGCGATATGACCTCTCAAAATCCCTGGAGGGGCTGGACACCATCAAAGCTAAGCCTGCTGTGGTGTTGCATAGCAACGAGATCCATTCGTTTCTCTCTGCGACATACACGTTCGAGCACGCGGAGGGCAAAGTTGGGGAACTGTGCCCTTCACAGTTGGTAGTCACCTCAGTTGCTATACCGACGGCTGCCTCGGTGACCATTTCTGATATCAAGATCACTTTTAATGGCAGCATGAAGCCCGTGGTATTGTCACACCGTGCTATCGATGATGGACTAGATCAGTCCCCAGTTGTTGCGCTGCAATCAGTGCCGTTGACGGAGGCGACACCAGACGAACGATCAGTTCTCATAGGACATGCAAGCCTTGTATTTGGACCTGGTCAGACGAGAATATTCGAGTTTAGCACTGTGCTAAGAGAAGATGGCGAGGCAAAAGCCATTTCAGCAACCTTCTCTATGGCCACTGATCACTTTGATCTTGAGTATGTCAACACCTTTGATCAGAAAATTGCTCCAGATGTGTGGTGGGGGGAGACGTCTATCAAGAAGAGGGTCGTTCGACTTGATGCCACAGCCATAACTATTCTCCCCAAACCGCCCAAGATCCAGCTCCGAATTGTTGGAATGCAAGAACAGTATTACACAAACGAGCAAATTGTCTTGAAGGTTGAAGTTACCAATGGGGAAGATGTTGAGTCGATAGTCAACCTTGAAGTCCGCTTAGTTGGGGACGATGTGCCGACTGTCACCTTGAAACTCGATGACAAAGAAAATAATGAAATTACAGAGTTAGAAAGTGGCAACCAACTTGCTGGAACGCCAATTGGCAGGATTGCTAGCACGGCCGCAACGATCGTGGATGTCGTCATTCCAGCACTCGACTTACCGGCGGTCTACGATCTGTCTTTGAAAGCAGCATACAACCTTGTCACCGATCTGGAAACACCAGTCTATCAGTCCATGGCCACACAGCTCGAAGTCATCAACCCCTTTGAAGCAAATTATGACTTCTCCCCTCGAATCCACCCGGACCCCTGGCCCAGTCTCTTCACCCACGAAGAAGTAGAAGCAGCGACCGACCCCCAAGAAGTAAAGGCGCAAGGTCTAGCACAAAAATGGTGCTTAACAGCTCGCTATGCCTCTTTTGCAAGAGACGAGCTAATCGTCAACGACGTCGACGTCGAGGTTTTGGGCTCGAACGGCGGCATTCAATGTTATACCAAGAAACTCACCAGTATTCCCTCGACCGGGTTACGCGTTTCCCCAAAGAGTTTAGACGAAGCCCAATTCGATACCTTCACGCAGAAGATCTCCCTCGATGACCGCGGTACCGCAACCCTCGATGTCTCCCTCGCCATCAAATGGCGACGCTCCAACCGTGACTCCACCTCTGCATCTCCAATCAACACCACCATCCTCGCCGTTCCACGGCTCCTCGTCTCGAGCAGTGAACCCAGAGTCTTAGCTGCAGTCTCCTACAGCAACAAAATCGCCTCCATGATCCACTTCGACGTCACAATCGAGAATCCCTCCAACCACTTTCTAACCTTTGGACTGACCATGGAACCGAGCGAGAAGTTCGCCTTCTCTGGCACCAAGCAGAGTACGCTACAGCTCGTGCCGTTATCCAGACGCACGGTGGGTTTTAGACTCCTGCCGACCGTGAGGGGCGAGTGGGTTGGCCCGATCCAGTGCGTGATTCGGGACAGATATTTTCAGAAGGTGCTTAGGATCGCTCCGACTGAGGGGATGAAGAGCGAGAAGGAGGGGCTCTTGGTGTGGGTGCCTGCTGAGGACGAGTTTTGAGATTATCAAGAAGGCGAGACGATGGGAGTTTATAGGGGGTGGTTCATGATGTGATGATACGATAGATAGACATGATGTTTGGAGAATAACATGGTCTTGACTGAATTTGAAGGGAACCCACCCTCATCTGAATGCCTTTCTGTACTCGTAAATACCCTCAACCGATACTCACTAGTGGCTTTTCGAATTCTTGTTGTATATCGCAGGGTGGGATCCTGCCTTGTTTATCTCTGCCGGTATTTCCCATTACATCACCACTAGCTAGGGTATTGCCAAACTGATTGTATCCTTACAAAAGTAAGTCACAAAGTCTCTGTCGCAAATCGTAAAAGGGTGATTGATATTCCATTCCATATACATACCTCCCTGTCTGGTACTCAACCACATACGATTCATTCCCTTTTCGCTCTCTCTCCTTCTCCTTCTCTTTCTTTTTCGAAATGAGGTCGGGGAGTCGCTGAATAAGGTAGGAAGGTAGGAAGGGAGGTAACCCTCCCGGGCATTCATTCATCTAGTGAGTGAGTGAGTCGAGTCGAGTAGGTAATAGTAATATAAGGCTCGCAGTTTCGACTTTTTGACTTCTCATGCATGATTAAATATTTTAATGTCTATTTATTTCCTTGATTTGTTGCTACTAGATTCACTCAGTCCCGCCATGGAATACATCAATCACATCTGGATAGCTGTATGTATGCAGCACAACTACTACTGCACACCCCCCTTTTTGCACTCAATGAATGCCATATCACCAGATACCGTCAATGATCAATCGTAACATCAAGACTCGGAGTTTGTAGTAGATCTTCATGCGAAAAATGTATATCATCATATCCTCGTTAGCGTGGGTGGTCATTATCTTCCTATTTATGTTCTCTTTCAGAGATAAAAAAGACCTATAACACGTATCTACAGCCCTCCTCCCTCCTCTCTCCCCGAACAGAATAAAAAAAAAACCACTGCGCCGAGAAAATGCTGACAATGCCCCCTTTCCCAACGCCAATGCTAACCCCGGATACGCCTATGTACGGACATCCCCAAATATTACATCGATGATCTCATCGAGGAGCGTGAAGGCGAGATGTGCACTGTTGCTTTGTCGTCAGCATGTTATCTTCTATCCCTCGGTAGTGGACAATACGGGGGACGAGTCCAGGTAGATGAAATCGAAGAAGGAGCCTCGAGAGTCAGGTGTAAAAGGAGAGATGGTGGGCGTACTTCAACCTCGGATTATTTAACGTCGCGAAAATCCTTCTACTCGCCGCCTGCGCGTTGACCCTGCCCACCACACTGGCCGCCAGATCCGGCACCAGCGACGCCAGCATCAAGCTCGCCTCCTTCCGCGTCTTGCTCTTCTCCCCCACTGTCCTCGGCTTCCCATCCTCCTTCTTGATGCCGCCTGGCCACATCGAATCCCTCAGCAGCGTGATGTACTTCACAATCGCGTCCTCAGACACGGATCCCTTAACGTTCTCGCGGACTTTCCGCTCAATTGTTCCGCCGAGTAGCTGGTGTAGGACAACGACGACGGCACGGCCACGCAGCCAGTTATTGCCACGATTGAGCTCGAACACTTCCAGGAAAATGTCGCAGATGGGCTTTACGAAGGGCTCAAGTTCGCGGTCTTCGAAGGCGTTTAGCTCAGCTTCGGCCTCTGCGACTGTGAGCGGGTCTTCACTGATCGTGGTCGGCATTGTGATCAGTTGGCTAGTGGCTGCCGATAGGAGGTTTTGGCCTGCGAGGGAGAGTTGGTCCAGGACTGGGATGCTGCCGAGTATATCTTCCATGCCGTCCTGAACGGAATTGTAGAAGCGGGTCATCATATCCTTTTTGGTATCTTCGTTGTCGAGGCGGCCGTCGAGGCTTGGGCCTATGGTGTTTTGTGAGAGGAAAGCTCTGAGGTCGCGACTGCGGCAGACATCTGGTAGGAGGAGGATTTCGCGGAGATATTTTTCCAAAGCCAGACGCCGCTTATGCAAGAAGTCACTTTGGAGCTTCATAACCATGCGTCGCCGTGGGAAGTCAAGATTCCGAACGGAAGGGTACTTCATCCTCAGCCTTTGGTGAAGATCGTGGAACTCGCTATATCGACGGGTAATAGTCCATGTTGCAGCTGGCATTTGCTCCCCTGCTTTGCGCTGAACCTCGACAACGTAGAGAGCATACTCCCTACCATCATCTTCTCTGCCGACCATAATTGACTTGATTTTGATGGTCGATCGGCCGTAAAGACTGTTGTCACTTTCTTGGATCACATACTGCTGCCGTTGGAGCTCCTTTCGCCTGATCTCCCGCTGTAAACTGGCTTTGGACTTCTTCAGAATCCTCAACTCGGCGTTGTTATTCGTCAATTCGGCCTTTCGTGTCAACGAGTCGACAACGGCATCTTGGGCTACCAATCGATCGATGTCGGTAGTCAAAGCGGTAATAGCTTCAGCCAATCCCAAATCTCCAGGCGCAGCTTCATGGACTGCATCATCATCATCATCCCTGTCTCTCTCATCTTCCGGGTCATCATGCTCATCCGAGATGAATTTCTCTTCGTCAGGAAACAGATCGTCGTCAGTGAATACTCCAATTCTAGATGATGTATTGACCAGGCCCAAAGAGGCAATACTTGGCTTTTCAGTCCGCTCTAATAGCCCTGATTTGCTAAGCTTCTCTCCGAATAGATCGGCCTTCTCCTGCTTGTCCAGCTTGTCCCCAAACAGGTCAGCCCGCTTATGGTCGACAGAGCTTCTGGCCGACCTGTTTCCCGGAGACAGCAGACTGGGATTCGGCGACTCTAGAGGGTAGTCGTCCCCGAAAAGTGACTTTCGAAGATCATCATCGTCAGGCTTATCCTCCATGATGGTGTTTAGTGCATCCTCCATAGCCTGTACCACATTGGGTTCCGGTACGTGCGTCTCGGTATCTTGGTCAAGACTGTGAACAGAATTGGCCATGGCTTCACTGTCAAAATCCTCTTCATCAATCTGGGGCGATGATCCCTCGTCAATGGAAGCTTGTGACGCAGGCATCGGATCCAAACCATTTTCATCCTTCGTAGTTTGCAAGTCAGTGGAGGATACTGCGTATCGACGAAACTCGTTTCTCCTCGGAACTAGCTTGGCAGATATCCTGTGGAGCGGAGCAGGCTTGGAAGGGGGCCCTTGGGTTGATGCCGATCTGGCTGGGAGATTCGGTTTGTGTATTGTTTCCAGCCCAGAGTGAGCTACCGGTGGAGCAAGCGAATTAATGTTCTTCATTGCCTCTTGTGATGTTAAGCACTTGTAGAATAGGTCCGACTTCTTGAACCCTTGAAAATGCTTATCTTGCATTACCTCCAACGCAGAAGTTTGTGCTTTCAAGATCGCTCTCCGAGCCAGGAAATACTGCCGAGGAGTGGCCCATTTGCCTGCTTTCAAAAATTCCTGTACTAATCGCTTTGAAGACTCGGGCACCTTCAGCTCAGGCTTTGATAAATATGCCTCATTTATTTGAGCGAGATCATCTCGATCAGCATCGGTCCAGGGAGTAATGGTCGTTGGGATATCATCCTCCTCGGCAACATCGTCCTCAAGAGGATTTCGGAATCCGTCTACAACGATCCAGAACTGGACCATAGGCATTAGTCTTTGTCTATCCATATACTCCATAAAGTAAGATAGCCCAGATGGGTCATGCAACAAGTCCACCAAGGCGGCGTGCTCAAGCTTCGACACTTGTGCTCCATTACCAGATACCTCTCTGGGATCCAAGAGACGCTCACTACTACCTGCGGCAAGTTGCTGAACTCGTTGATCTAAAATTTTCTTTCCAATATCCAGCCTGCGGAGGTAAACAGGATCCATGCCTTCTTGCAACGCATCCCTTTTCAACTGACTTGAGACCTCGCTCCGAAACCTGCGGGCGTCCGAGAGATTGTTGACTCTCCGAATAGCACGGATAAACTTCTCGAACTTTCTCTCATGATCCCCGGGGGATATACGTGGAAAAGACGCTGCCCGCTTCGAGCTTGGGGCTGGGGACGCATGCTCATCAAGAGCAGCTCTAAGCTTCCGCACTGTCGACCGATCCTGCAGCATAGATCGTCCGTAGTTCTCCATAACCTGGTTCCACGTATCCGGCTCAGACACCATCTGCATAATCGGCGAAAGTACAGCGCAAGCCACCAGCTCATTGATGAGAACCCCCACCGCCCGGCTCCCAAGGACAGGTTCTGGCAACAGCCTGGGTAGCAAATCCTTTACTAGTTTGCGTAGATATTCCTGCTGTACTAGCTTCGTATCCGAATATGCTAGGGACGCGGCTGGGTGTAGCTTTCCATCTCTGTACTTAGCGGCTATCGCCAGATCTAACTCCTCCGACTCCGTCACACTGCGATTCAGATTCTTCCCTCTTATGGCCCTCTCTGCCTCGTAGAATTCTCTGAAATGCGCCGTCAGGATTGGCACAAAACGTGTAGTCGCCACCTCTGTGATATCGATTGACAAAAGCTCATCCCGCAAACAAGCCAATGCCAGCCTGATCGTCTTGTCGACCTCGTTCGTGAATACCGGGTTGTTGCTGATATTCGAGTACCAAGAACTGACAAAGTCCCTTAGGATCAACGCCAACAGGTCATCCAACGCCTCAGACACAATCGCAGACTCGGGGTACAGGGGCTGCTTCTTGTATGACTGTCTCTTTTGCAGCGCCGCGGATTCCTTACCCCATTTCGACCTCGCCAGAAAAGCTGCGCCCGGCGGACGGCGCGTGGAATTCCTCTCCCCATACCTGCTGCCTCTTGACGTGAGCACCAGCGCTGCGATCAGGCCCAGCATGGGCAGCACAAGTCCTATGACGAAGGCGTATCCGGCCCAGCGTAGCGCTGGCACCCAGTTGACGGCATACCCCCATGCGACAAAGCTTGCGACGCCGGCGAGGATCACATCTCGTCGTTTCAGGGCCATAATCTGTGGCGGGAGGATGCGCTGCGCAGCATGATGGAGTTGATAAGAAAGGTTCGCGGTCTGGAGCTTGGGAGTTGTCAAGTATCCATGCAGCTTCAAATCTCGGGTAATCCTGCCGTTTATACAGCATGCCAAGAGAACCATAAGTTCGAGTCCGCGGCAGATCATGGAAATGTTGAACCTCTTTTGGTTTTTCAGAGTGTATTGCCATAGCGAATTTCATTTTTGGGTATCTTTACAATTTACCAAGGGGGATCCTCAATGCGCCGGAACAATGCGATGAACTTCTGCCCTTGATTCCGCTCTACCTTCTTTCCCTCCTCCGTCTCAACCTTCATAATCTGCACACATGGATCTGCCTCTTGTTCTTCTTCAGGCACACGCTCGAAAGATAAATGAGCTTCGAAGTGCTGTACCATCCACTTGTGTAAATCCTCAACGTCGGTGATCGTGTAGATGATTCCTCCTGGTCGTACAACATAGGCGTATTCGGAATTTAGTGTCGTAGAAACGATCCGCGCCTTGTGTTTCCTAGCTTTGAAATGCGGATCTGGGAAGCAGAGGAAGATCTTGGAGAGCTGGTGTTTTTTGAAGAAGTTGGGGAGGAATTTCATCGTGTTAGCTCGGACGCAGGCGGCATTCTGGTAGGAACCGTTATTTGGATTTTGGGCTCTCAGAGCCTTGATCCGTTCCTGAACGAACTCTGTGACTTGTGATCGGATTTCCATGCCTGTAAAGCCTGTTAATCACGACTTTATATATAGGCGTTTTGGAAATGTGTATGTACCAAGTATCAAAGTCTCTGGCATTATGGGAGCCAAAGCCACCGTCAGCCCTCCGAACCCACATCCTATATCCGCGACCTCAACATCTTTCCGGAGCTGCTTCACCGCATGTAATTTTTCACCCTCTTTTTGTATCCCAGTCATACTTTGCTCGGCTTCTGGATTTGCGACGAAGGCAGGGTAGTAGGTAGACCAATCCATGTGCGCAGGGCTGATAGGACTTTTGATTGTCAGTACACTGATCTCTGGATCATTGACACGAAAGGCCTCACTATGTCAATTGGTGATCTGAGAAGGGATTCGCATGGGCACGCTGTCTGTAGAATTTCTTCTTCGGGCCCTCTGTTGTCGGCCTCTCATTCTGGGCTTTCTTGTACTCCTCCCTCTTCTGTCTTTTGTTTGGAGCACCCCCCATCTTGTCGAAGATCCAAGGTCCCAGCTGTGGTCGAAGGATTTGTGGTGTTTTGAGAGAGGTGCAAAGCATTGGAGGGGAAGAATGAGGGGCTCGAGAAAGCTGAATATACGTCGACTCTGTAATAATAGTTATCGATATGCCCATTTTAGCGTGGAGCGGGCCCGCCAGCCCCTGTAGTAAATTCCCGTCGCCCATTGCAAACCGACGCCCTTCCACCGGTTTTGGTGAGGGAGGTCCCTCCCCGTAGGGCAACCAACTGCCCATTGATCCGTTCCTGCATCTCAACCAATTTTGCCTCCTCTTCCTACATCTACATCTCAACCCTCGAGATGCTCAATTCTCCTCCATATCTACCCCGTGTCGCCGACTTGACGCTGCCCATTTAATCAGCTCATCAATTGGCACGGTACCTATCCCGAATCCCGGATCCGCAGATACTTCAGATAGACTTTGATATCATGTCTTGGTTCTCCATACTGCCGCCGAGCGTCTCCTTCATAGAGACATGGGCGATTCGCATCTTCGTAAGCATCACCGGGCTTAGTCAGACTTGGATTCCAAGTTACTAAGAGGGATATAGCTTGTGCTTGGGATCATGGTAATCGGCCCATGGTTCCTTTTGATAGTCTACGACATGGTCCTCTACATCTTTCGGACTGCAACCTACGAGATACCCTACGTTGGAGGACGTGCAAGGCATAGACCCCGTCCTAGAGCACCGAGTCTAAGTCAGCGTCCAGTTGGGATACCGAGAGGCTGCAGTCTGACTGTTCTAGGAGTGCCCACAGCGATAGAGTCAGCAGAAGAGATAAGGGACGGCTTGAAGCAACGGCTGGAAAGAACAGGGCACGCCGGAGGCGGAGGGGACATTAATATCGTATCGGAGGATTGAGTAACCAGCAACATTTATTCGGCGTCGAGAAATATTTTCAGCGATCAAGACAATCGTTCCAGAACTTTGATCAGATCCCCTGTTACTCCCATAGCAGTGACATCGCCGCCAGCGCCAGCTCCTTGAATGATCAAGGGATTGGATCCGTACCGCTTCGTGTAGAAGCTGATGATGTTATCACTGCCCTTCAATGCAGCAATTGGGTGCGAACGGTCGAACTTTTCCAGACCAACCTTTACCTCCTTCTTAGTCACATCAATACTTCCTACGAATCGTACAACCTTTCCTTCCTTTTCAGCAGCAACCTTGGTCTCCTCCATTTGTAAGTCGAACTCGGGTAGCTTCTGCAGGAACTCGTCACCACTAGCAACATTCTCCAACTCCTTGGGGATCAAGCTCTGAACTGGGAATGATGTTGGCGACTCAACCGGCAGTCCAGCAAGACGTGCCAGGATGGTCAACTTTCTGGCAACGTCCAGCCCATTCAAGTCATCTCGTGGGTCGGGCTCTGTATAGCCCAGTGCCTTGGCCTTTGTAACCTCGGCCGACCACTTGCCACCGGATCCCTCCGTGGGCGCAAAAGAGTTGAACAAAAACGACATGGTACCACTGAAGACACCCTCAATTTTTGTAACCTCATCGCCAGTATCGACAAGTTCCTTCAATGTCGAAATGACCGGCAGTCCAGCACCAACAGAGCTTTCATGGTAGACTTTAGCTCCTGACGAAGCAGCGGCCGAGAAGATGGATTGCCAGAGCGTATACGAGCCTGAGAAAGCCTTCTTGTTTGGCGTGACGATACTGATGCCCTTTGCAAGAAAGCCTGGGTATGTATCTGCTACATCCTGGGAGCTTGTATTATCCACAAGAACAACTTTTGCAGGAGCTGCAGCAAGGAAATCGATGATTTGCGGCAGGGCGAGAGGCTCCTGCGTTGAGTCTGCGAGGGAGGTAGAAATATTGTCGTATGACAAGGCGGTGTATTTCGGGCTGTAGAGGACTTTCTTGCTTCGCGAGACGAAGATAAGGGAGATTTTGGGGGAGGTAAGACGCTTCGAGAGAGCCTCGAGTTGTGTCAGGAATGCCTTTCCTACTCCACCAGCGCCTATGTAGCTGTTAAAAATGGGTCTAAATGGGGGGATTTTTTGAAAACAAACCGATCACTGCTACGTAAACATCCTTAATTGCTGGCATTTTGGACGAAGAGGCTGCTGAGAAGCACTTGGGGTAGATTAAGGAGAATCAAAGTCAGATTGAAGCCAGAGATGGCGGGGTACGAATGCTCGAATTCGCATTTAAATTCGCCCCACTTGCCGTAGCAGGCGAGGCGTCTTCAGCCTTACAGAAGCTCGAGCGCTCCCTACAGCATCATATCTCGAGCCGACGACGCCTCAGACCCCCGACTTCTCTGGAAAGTATGGCATCAGAAACGGGCAACCTCTACGGAATTAAGCCCCCCAAGAAGGAGTACAAATCCCTCTCCTCAACCACAAACCTCGCCTTTCAATCTAGCCTCTCCTCCCTCCTCTCTGCCGCAACTTCCACCTCGATGACCGCACCCGGGCGTCCGCGCCCTTCCAAATCGAAACCCGACATCTTCACAGCGCAGAATAAGAATGCCAAGAAGCGCGCAGCCAAGGATCTGGAAGACGATGAGTTTCGAGGCCGGACCGCAAGAAGACAGGATCTCGGTGGCGTCGATGAAAACGTGTTGCAGCGCTCCAAACGGAAGTTGGAGGCCAAAGCCAAGATCTACGCGCGCATGAAAAGGGGAGATGTGGTCGCTGAGGGCGACGAGGAAGGCTTAGTGGACTTCGACCGCAAATGGGCCGAACGCGGCGGTCACGACGACGATTCCTCCGAAGTGGAAAGCGACGACGGGCAGGGCGAGATGGTGGACTACGAAGATGAGTACGGGCGGGCGCGTAGGGGTACACGAGCTGAGGTCGAGCGCATGGAGAGGAAGAAACGGAATCAGTTGCTAGGAGCCGAGGAATTGGATAGGATGAGTGCCAGACCGGCGATGCCAAGCAAGGTTATCTACGGGGATACGGTGCAGACGATGGCGTTTAATCCTGATGAGGAGAGGTTGGAGAAGATGGAGGAACTTGCGAAGAAGAGGGATAGGAGTCTGACGCCGCCGGACGCCACGCATTATGAGGCGGACAAGGAGATCAGGAGTAAAGGCGTGGGGTTCTATGCGTTTTCGAAGGATGAAAAGACCAGAATGCAGGAGATGAGTAACTTGGAGGAGGAGAGGAGGGAGACGGAGAGGATCAGACTGGAAAGGGAGAGAAAGAAGGATCAGAGACGAAGGGAGATTGAGGAGAGGAGGAGGATTCTTGGGGAAAAGAGAGCGAAGAAACAGGCCGATACCTTCCTGGATGGGTTGATGAATGATATGGGCGCTGTAGAGAAGGAATAGGCGTGTTTTTCTACTGTTCAATGGGTTTAGCGAGGCGTTGGGGTTGTCAAGTGCAATTAGGACGCGGTCCAGGCTCTATAAGTACAAGACATGTAGGTACAGCGTCTTAGCACAGGCTTCCAAGCCTATATATAAAGAGCCAGTAGATCCCTCGTCAAAGCTCACAGACAATTCAATCACTTCTCCAGAACAACAGCCCCGATCGAACTGAAGAGCCGTCGGCTAGTCCCCGCTCACTTCCCCCAACAATAACAACAAACAACATCATTTTCTCTGTCCCCGAGCCTCGCCTCATTACGATGCGATTTACTTCCTTTGATCTCCCAAAATCTTCGGAAATCAGCGCAACATACCTATCGATGTTGCGCCCAGTCATCCGCGAACTTCGCTCCAACCATCTTCGGCGTACCCTGTCCGATATCACAAATTATCGGGTTAAGCGGCTTTACTTTTATCTTTTATAAAGATACCTAAGGTAGGTTATAGGGCACGGACCATTGGTTGGGGTCTACAGTACCTTGCAGTGCAGAGAGCTTTCCAGACGATGAACAAATCTGGCGACCAACGCAGGAACACCGACGGCAGTATCTTTTTCTTGATTCGCAATCAAGCATTGAAATGAAAGCTTGATCGAATCTCATTGCAGCAGCGAGCTCGGAAATAGGGAATCGATAAGAAGCCTTATCACCTTCCCTCTCGCCTTCTTATCGATTATCTCCTTACAAGTACCTTTCGTCGGTCGACCTTTCAGCTGGACCTCTCTACTGCTGGTATGTCCCACGCCAGCGGTCATGTGTAGCCTCGCATACGAGGCTACGACTCCACCTCTCCCTTCAACCATCTCTATCTACTCTGTACGTCGCGTTCACTCCACCCATAATGTTCAAAACTCCAAGCACATCCTCAATATCTGAACTATAAATAATGACAACCAACACGCCCACCACCCCCTTCGTCTTCCCCAAACACTACTCCTTCCCCCCCTTCTTCACGCTCCAACCGAACCTCACGTAGGTACCCCTCTCCCATCCCATCTCCCATCTCCCATCCCCATCCCCATCCCACAACCCCAAGACCACGCGCAAAAACCCACCATCCAATCCAACTAACACCCTCCCCTCCCAGAACCCGCCACTCCCAGCTCCAAAAGTGGTCCTCCCTAGTCCTCAGCTACGCGCGCGCCCACCGCCTCTTCCGCCTCGCCCTCTCCTCCGCCCTCACCTCCCCGCTCTTCCACAACAGCGCCATCAGCAAGCGCCTCAGCCGCGAAGACGCGAAGGAGGTCGTCGAGTACATGGTGCGCGAGGGCCGCGCCGAGTGGGTCGGCGAGTCGCATCATTCGGGTACTGCTAAGGGAGGCGGGGCTAAGGGGGGAGAGGGGGGGAGTGTTTTCTGGGTCTGGTGGAGAGATGTGGAGGAGTGGGCCGGCTTGATTGGGGACTGGGTATGATGTCTTTTTGTGCTTTTTCTGCTTGGTGGGGGGGTTCGCTCTTTTGGTGTGGTGTGTTGCATGTGGTTGAGAGGGGAGTGGACAGGAGAGGATAAGGGCTGATGAAAGATATTGATAGGTTGATGAGACGGCGCAGAAGAATACCGTGTTGACGCTCTACGAGCTGACGGAGAGCGAGGCGACGATCTCACAAGGTTCTTCTCCTTCTTATTCCCCCACATCGTGGCCCAGCTCACCAGATACAGATTTCCACGGCATGGATCCAGACTTACTGCAAAGGGCATTGGGTGTACTCGTTAAGCGAGGGAAAGCACAAGTGTTCGGACAGGAGGATCAACAGGGAGTGAAGTTTTTCTAGAAGTTTGCCATGAGAAAGGATGACACGACATGATGAAGGTGCATTGGGACGGAGTTTATCCAAGTGGGCATGCCTGGTTCGTTACTAAGATTACTACTAGACGCATTTCGCAGGCGTTACGCTTCACACCGCTCAAATTCAGGGTATTGGCTACCTCTGCCAAACATCCACCAGACCCATCTGTGCAAACCGTACCAGAAACAAAACTTATGTACACTTTCCAAATCTCATCAGTATCATCGCTTGGTAATCAAATAGTCCTCATCCCACTTGTACTGTTGAGACATCGCAACATCCAAGAGCCATTCCGAGTCGACGATTCTTGGGATCATGTTACCCTCCTTAGCCATCCGCTCGAACTTTGGCCAAAGAGCTCTCTCGGCTGGAGACTGGCCGGTGAGTAAGTAAACCGGCTCAGCTGGGCCAACATCGTCTTCGGGGTTGGTTTTCTTGATAGTCGGCCGACCACTGTACAGAGCAAACGTGCCTCCATTTGCTTCCACGATCGACTTGTATGTTGCCGAGCCGTTGGGAATCGCGTTCGTGCAGTATATTGGTACGCGGCGAAGGAGATTGCGATTGTTAGCCTTTGCACGCACAATGACATCCTTCAGCTTCAGACCGAATTTCTTCTCACTCGCGACGTCCTTGAGCAGAAAGTCCTCCACAGCTGGTATTTTGCCATTACGGCTTCCGACGCTGGCCTCGATGAAATTGGATGTCACAATAGTCGGTCCGGTTGCCAGAGCACAGAGGAACTTCTGGGTCCGAACCATATTTGGAGCAGCAAGATGTGAGCATTTTAAAGGGTCTTCAACAACGAGGATCCCCAGCTCCCTCAATTTCCTCTATAATATTGATCAGTAGTACTCAGACAGGGTGGCTTTAGTCGAAATTACCTTATCGGAGTCCTCTTTACTGGGGTTCGCAAGCCAGCCTTTATAACCAGTAATCAGGAGTCGGATTTTAACTGCTGGAAGACTAGTTCGCTGTCTTTTTGGGTTACGGGTTTCTGACTCGGCATCGTCCTCCTCGGCAGAATATTCTTCCTCTACATTCTTTCCAGCAGGACTTGAGCTGCGTTCCGCGGTCTTTTGCTTCTCGTAATCATTAGCAGCTCGCTCTCCACCCCAGACAGTTCCCTTGCGTCTCTTCTCCTTTTCGTACAAAGCAATGTCAGGTGCGATAACGTGCAGTCTGGATATCGCCTGTGCCTTCGCACTCCGGCTACCCGTAGAAATTGGTGTATCATTCCCCTTCCCTGTACTTGTCCGTTTTCTTGCAGCTGGAGTCATTGGCTGGGCACCGCCTGAAATTCTTGGCTTCCTTGGAGCAGCCATCTTCTTGATTGGCTTGATAGAGGTGCTATCGTCCTCCTCATCTTGGCCGCCTATTGTAACATCAACATCAGACGATCTTGACCTCGACAGGTTACGGTCCTTTTCCTTCATCGCGGGGCGCTTCAGAGGTCGTGGGTCTCCAGGACTAGGCGTGGGATCTTTCGGAAAGTATTTCTGTTCCAGAAGGGCGGCATCGAATTGTGTTTGGCCGATGATCTCACCCAGATTAGTCATTGGAGGGAAGTGTGTATAGCTTGGTTTGGTCATCTTCTGAATCTCACACTTTGCGTAACTCTCCTCGATCCAGAGATGGTTGATCATTTCTATGTTCCACTCTCTGGCGGCATCACACTTCTCACTTCCGTTTCGAGCCGTGATAAGATGTGTATTTTCTTGCTTCATGCTCTTGGTGAACTCTGCGCCACAGGCCACCACCAGATTTTCCAGGTAGGTTCGTGCTTCGCCACCATAGTTCGACAAGGTGATCTTGAGACCATGAAACCCCGCGATTCCGCCCTTGGGTAGAGGGTAGTGCATCAGTCTTCGGAGTGGTGATGTCCATCGATTGTTGGCAATTAGATGGTATAGCCATGAGAGATTTCCGACGTCAATCTTATACCGAGAGGCAAAGACGTAGTCTCTACCTTCGCGCCAGTGGCAGACATATATGTCAGCGTTGTGTACGGATTGTGTGATGCTACCACCACCGCCAGTGATAAGATTTTCGATGACTCCGCGAGGTCGGTTCCCGAGTTCGAGATCATCAGAGATCATAACTTTCTTGCCCTTGAAGACAGTCAAAGGACGGGTAGGCGAGTCGGTTGGCATAGGTAAGGTAGTCGGACGTGGCGAGGTAGCTCCACGAACGTCTTCGGAAGACACCATTTGAACATCACCACTGAGGTCACCATTGAGAATGGGTGGATCGGGAAGAAGATATGGCTTGTCGTCGATTGCTTTTCCAAGCTTCAGACAATCATCGAACCTTGAAATCGTTAGCGACGTTATGCGTAGAGAGCGTCATCATACCAATGGGGAAGCACAATCTTGCACTTGAGGTTTTTGTCTCTAACAGTCTGACACTTCGGATGATCGACACTCAAAGCACATACATGTGTCGTCAACTTTGTAACACTGCTGGTCTCCTGGCCACCCATCGCAAGCACCGCACCAATAATCGCATCTTTATCGCCTTGCGGCAAATCGGCGCATGAAACCGTGACTCCGGTGAAATAGTTATTGGGATCCGGATTGTATGGCCTAATTGGTGCTTCCCTGTTCTTGAGAAGGGAAGCTGAGACCCAGGCAGGTGTGACAGTAGGTATCATGTAATCTCGCGAGCTGGTGTACTGCGGAAAGTCGCAGTTTTCTGAGATGATGTGGGTAACATCTTTGACGTTGAAATCCGGCTCAAAATTCAGTACTTCTCCGGCGTGGTCCTTAATGGTGTTCTGCAGCTATCAAAATGTTAGCCTTTTTTGTCCCTCTGGAGCGTGGTCGAGGTGGCCAGCCAGCCTTACCTCCAACGCCTGCTTTCGCGGAAGTTCCTTGCTAAGAATGATCTTAAAGATACAGGTCTCAAACACGGGACTGCCCTTATTCTCATTTTCGCGCGCCATTTTATCTTTCAGCAGTAGCGAGGTGCGGGCATTTGTTGTGGTGAGTACCGTGGCGAGATGGTCGTCGGGGGGTTGCAATTGAAGTTGGTCGAGGACTCGAGAGACGCGTTCGCGTTGGGTTAGAAAGCGCGACCGTAAGCTAGTAGACAAAAACAGTCGCACGTGACTTTCAGCCGATGGCAAATTCGATCAAATACTCCTCATCTGCTCGGCCGAGTTAAATTCATGTAAACCACGGTAACCCACCGTATTTACTCTGATATGAGTTCGACCTCTTTTTTGAAAAACTGGCTCTTATATTGTTTGTCACTCATTTACTGACGAGCAACTCCCTTCTGATTGTGCGACTTCAGAAAAGCCACTATCAATGAGCGTCAGCGCGCGACGTGTGTGCCACCAGCTTTCGGGTTCCTTCCAAAGTAGAACAGAGCCAAGTTCAAATCCAAATCCAACCGAAGAATCACGAAAGCGCCGAGAATTATACCCTACAGTTATTCTATACATTCAAGAGCAAAAGTCGATTGTGATGACCTAGCTAACTGACTAGCTAACTGACTAATGGACTGTATAAAATACCTCTAAACCTCACACAAAACATCTCTCACCCTCCAATAGACACACAGGCGATAAATAATAAAAAGTGGCGGGGGGAGGGCCAAGTAATATATTTATCGACTATATCTGCCGTCTTTCTATCTGCCGTTTCTTCTCTCCCTCTCCCTCCACACAAGAAACAAAAAGCATTCCGAGTTCTAAAACAAGAACCCCATCTAGAATGCCCCCTACTCGCCTCCTTTCTCTCATTCCCATTCCCATTCCCCGATTCCGCACCAGGAATGTCATCTTCCCGAATCGCAGTTCTATCCTATCACTTCGTCACTAGTCCGCCAATGACTCTCCCGAGTCCCGAGCCCGAGTCCCGCCTAGGCACCGGGAGAAGGTCCGGCGGTCCACGAACTCCTCTAATAGGCCATTCTTCCTTACCGTCCCAATCAATGACAGCGTCCGAAAATTCCTTCAGTTCATCTTTTGACTCAAAGCATTTGGCCCTTAACTCCAGAACACCGTTATTGACTACTTTCGCTGGACTAAGCATCTGCAGCTGCCAGTTGATACCCGAAACCCAGGAGAAGCGCAGCGCTGCGTGGGGATATTTCCCTAATGGTGTTGACACGAGGTGTTCCATAATGACTTCTTCGCTTTCGAACCATAGGTTTTGTTTTATCTTCGAAGGCCATTTTTCGTAAGATTTCTGGATATAGAATTTGCCGATACGTTTAGCTTCTTCTCGTTCGCTTTGATAGCGCAATACCAATTCGCTGCTGCTCTCGGCAAGCGTTTAGGATCGTTTACTGTTTATATTACTAGCTCCGCGCAATAGATAACGATCTATAAATATCAGCTCACCCATGTAACAGCCAGGTCCTAATTGAGTAACTCATGCGGATTCCTTTACATGTAGCTTGCTGTGTTTATTTATGTCCTTAGCTTCTTCCTATAATTCGCGTAATTAATATAAGCTTGGTATAAATCAAGCGAAATTTACTCTGTACTTCGGAAAGTGATGGATAGCCGATACCTTTTTTTTTCATCGATTCCGAGAAATCCTTGGAGCTCTATACAGTAAAAGAGAAAGCTCAAGGCTAGCAAGATTGCAAAGATGGACTTCGAATCGTAGCATCTTGTTTGTATACGATGAGAGTTAACCAAAATGAATATGCCGGTAAAGGAAGAGGACAGCAAGTGCAAGAACATATATACTCGTCGGTTGCCAGCTACTTATTACTCGAGAAATTTGAGCGGCTTTGCTCAGCAAGTCGGAACCAGCGACCCGGATACAGCGAGAGTATACGTAATTAACTAATAACTTCACAACTACTATTTCAATTTAATATGAAAATTATCTACATGCTGAGGAACATTAACCCATCTTTCTATCGTTCGTGAAAATTTAATCAATATCACTAGAAAGGCTACGATATGAAATGGGGTAAAGAATCGGTCGAATTTCGACTTCAAAAAAAGTTTTGATTCACGATCTGACTAAAGTATATCAGTAAGTATTACTCTGATCGCGAAGAAAATATAAATATATACGCAATTATTAAATTACTATTATATTATCAAAGAATAAATCCATTTTAAACGCAAGTTGGTAGTCGAATGCAATACTTGAAGTGTTTGATGTAGTCAAGTTTTTATGTTCTCGCTTATTCTGATACATATAGGATTGTTTTGATATGTACACAGCCAAAATACCTCGAAACAAATACGAGAACCATCAATCCATACAACTTTATAGGCGTTATAGATAGACTGTAAAACTAAGAATGTACTAGTATAACACTGCTACCTATCAGACCCAGTTGAGCCTCATTAACCGTAGAGCGATGGTTTCTGAATGGCTCAAAACTCTATCAACTCTACTGCACAGACTAAATACTTGCTTAAAGACGCTTTTCAAGGCCGAATCGTTATAGGTTTATTGGTTCGAGCTCTAGTGAAAGCCCTTGCAAAATTATACTTTCGACATGTGTTTATAGGAGGACAATAATTAGACTATGAGGAATCGAATGCAACAAGAATGAAGTGCGTAAGATAGGTGGTTGATTTGTTCTTAATCAAATACGTAGATTCTCCTGGTATCCGAGGCGCTGGTATGTCCGAGTCGCTGGTTCCGACGGCAAATTTTTCAAATTAATACTCACGCAATCACGAGTATATCTTGTCGATTCACCAATATCGACATCCTCGCTTGGGTAGATAGGCATGTCTCGCTGAGCGAGACATGCATCTCCGTAGGGACCCCCAACTTCCCTGTAAACGTTGATAGATAGCCATTCAGTAGAACTCCTTCTAATCGTATAGAAGGAGTTACCTGCTCTTAGCTTCAGGAAGTAGACAGAAATCAGATACCATTCACACCCATTGCTTTGCAATTGCATGAGGACGACGTGCGATGCACGCTGGCATGAGACGAGAGAACGAGCCAACATATCTCCTTTTTAGACAGTATTCAAAATTTCTTCGTCAGCTATAAATCATCGAATTTACGCTTAGCTGACTATTTATAGTATTGCAACCTTCCTTTGCAAATCAAAAAGATTAACGTAATTACTACTTACTACTGTACTTGTACTACATATACGAAGTCTTTTCCCTGGCGGCCCTCCGCAAGCTCCGGGGCCAGGGGACCTCGCTCCGCAACGGTCGGGTATAAGGCTGCTTTCCGAGGCTTTTACGTAGTACTACGTAATACTATCTATGACCCAAGCTCAAACGCATGCACCCAATCAGCGCAGCGGCCGCACGTCAGGTGACGCATTTTTAACAGTTTACGGTCTTAGCCGATACAATATACGGAGACGGAGAAGTTCCCGATCGGCGCCTCGACTTATACCTCGGCTGGCCGTATCGATCGATGACTGTCCTCTCACAAAGCATCATTCTATTCCTATTTTGCTCGTGCTCTTGCCTATTGCCTTTTCTGTTTACATTCCATCGTCAGCAGGCAGTCAAATTCATATCCATCCGTTTCCCCGCTGTCAATCATGACCTCCTCCTTGTTCAAAGTCCAAGAACACGTATTAGAATGTCAGCATATTAGAGAATATGCCCGGGCTACATCTAACTCTCAGGAGGCTGTGTTGAAGTTGGCGATCAAGCAATACACGCCTCTAGACAATCTCGAGCCTCGAGAGGGAGATGTCACTATCATTGGAGCGCATGCAAATGCATTCCCGAAGGTACGTACATACTCTTTTTTCCCACTTTTCTGTCATGTAGTGTGGAAATGAGAAACCCAACGTATATTAGGAACTATACGAACCACTCTGGGAAGACATTCTTGCTCGCTCCAAGAGCAACGGCTTCAGAATTCGAGGTATCTGGATTGCAGACGTGGCACAACAAGGACAAAGCGGAGTCATGAACGAGAATCTTCTCGGCAATGATCGTAAGCATATCCCTCAACCTATCCCTTACAAGTCTAAACTTCTTTTCTAGCCTCCTGGAGCGACCACCCCCGGGACCTCCTACACTTGATCAACCACTTCCGCTCTCAAATGCCTCTCCCTTTGATCGGCATCGGCCACTCGATGGGTGCCGCCTGCTTGGTTAATCTCTCCCTCATGCACCCCCGCCTCTTCACCACCATGATTCTCCTCGACCCTGTAATCCAACAACACGCATCCGTGCCCCTCGGCCCCAAACCAGCCCAAGCCTCTACCTTCCGCCGGGACATCTGGCCGTCCCGTTCTGAAGCCGAAGCATCGTTCCGCAAATCAAACTTCTATCAGACCTGGGACCAAAGAGTGCTAGATCTGTGGTGTAAATACGGCATCCGGGAGACGCCCGCGAGCCTCCATCCAGGTGGGAAAGGAGAAGTGACGCTAACAACCACAAAGCATCAAGAGTGCTTTACGTTTCTCAGACCAAGTTGGGAAGCATTTAGCGAGGGCGGCAAGAGGGTTGTGAAGAGAGATTTGGTACCTGAGCTGCGTGACGAGACTCCTGCTGCTTCCCAATTCCCATTTTATCGCCCTGAACCTTTTAATACGCTTGTGAGGATTCCGGAGTTGAGACCCAGTGCGTTGTATATATTCGGAGAGCTGAGCCATTTGTCTGTGCCTGAAGCAATAGCATTGAAGATGGAGCTTACCGGTACCGGGCCAGGCGGAAGTGGTGGTGCGAGAGAGGGGAGGGTAGATCAGGTTACTTTGAAGGGGATCGGACATTTAGTTGCGATGGAGGCCAGTCAGAAGTGCGCTGACGCTACGGCTACGTGGGTTGGGAAGGAGTTGAAGAGGTTTCAGGAGGAGAGGAGGAAGTATATCGAGTGGACTAAGCGGAGTGTAGAGGAGAAAACTACGCTTTCGGAAGAGTGGAAGAGGAGGATAGGTGGCCCGCCCCAGAGACCAAGTAAGATGTAATTCGAGTAAATACTACGTACGAGACAGCAGCTGGGAGAAATCTTAATCTTGTTCGTGAACTCTGCTTTGCACCGGCAGGCCTTGCGTTTTCTTGTTACCGACCCACACATATTACGGCCGCCATCACTGCCGGCGTGGTTTGCTTTACACTAGGAAGTCGAATCTGTTTCCTCTTGATATGTATGTTTACAGCATTTTGATGTCCTTTTGGAAGTACCTTAAGCTTGCCATCAAGGCTACCCAGACTCATGATCATCACCCCACCGATCACACAGATGTCGTTATCATCCCTTCCCCCTTCGAAACAAAGAATTGCCAAACCTCTGAGCCAACCAACGTATTACTTGCTTCATTCCGAATCCTTTCTTTTTTCTTCCTTTTCTGTTCTTCTGATATCCGCAGTACTCTCTGTCCACGAAGCTCGACGGGGTGCATATGCGGTATTGAGTACAAACAGAGCGCTTGAGTCTCGAACATGAAGCAAGTTCGGGTGTGATCGCCGCTTACCCTGAGTTTAATATCGTTCAGGTAGCAGTGTTGCGTAGAAGGCGATTCGAAATCTAGTATCTACCGATGCGCAAAGGCCTACCTACTCCACTAGACAAATTTCTGGGATTTGTATAATCGTAGTGGTGTTTTGTGAGTAGAACATTCCTATCAGATTGATGGCCATCTTCTACAGTTGATTCGAGTCCGCAGTTCCGAGAACAAACGACACCCAAATCCTGGGAGGGCATCTCAAATCCGAGTTTAAGGGTGCATATAGATAGGTAGGCTCAATTTTAGTGGTGGTCAAAAAATAATCGAAGCCCAAAGCCCTCACGAAAAGAAAGTCAGTGAAAACAGAGACCCACCCACCGCACTCGAGAAGCCCGGCACAACCGACGTGGCAAAAGGACCGGAACCAGGGAAAAAATCACAGTAGGCCAGTTTCGTACCAGATACGAGGTCGCTATAGGAATCGAACCAATATCCCCAGAATTTCGGACGCCGCGAGGCTGATCAGAATCTGATGTGCTAACCATTACACCAAGCAACCATGTTGAATTAATCCTTGTGGTTCACGAGGGGCATTTGGGCTACATATATTACGTAATTTATTTTCTCCAGCGAGGCGATCCGCCGGATGTGGCCTCGATCAAAGCCGGCCCGGTAAACCTCTTGTTAAGCTCTCCTCCCTACCTATGATCCAGCTGTGAATTTATTCATGAAGTTCTCAAGTCTAATATAATTTGTTCACTACGTGGATCTCTCTTTTACTGCTCAATGAATGGAACATGTCTTCAACTTTGAGATATCAACAATAGGCATGGCTTTCCACAATCTCTGGAATCCACTATCCGCCGCATTTCGGATTCGCCAAAGCCCATCGTTTTCGTGCCACCCGGTCCACCTACTGCCCTCCCTCTAATCTTGCACCTGCATCACACTCTCCTCAAAGATGAGGCCATCATCAGAAATCCGCGTTTGATTACGGATTCCAAGTCCAGGGAATTCATTGGTAGTCTTCTCACGAGCCCGTTTCCTCTTGGGCAAGACCTTGACCCAGACTCAGCCGTATCCTAACTCCGGACCTCATTCGTCTATCTACAAATATTTGCTGGTCTTACTTTACCTGTCAAGCTGGCAGCGGCCGTGGCAGCTCTCTGTACTGTACTGTATAAGCTCCTCTTCCCCTCCTCTCTTCTAATCCCTCTCTTGTATATTCTATATCATACTGAGCGTTCTGTTTGTAACGTACTTAAAGGGGCTACTACTAGAAATATAATGCTAGAGAAAAAGTTGCTTGCATGGTACCTAGGGTAGCTACTATTAGGGGTACTACAGTATACCGCGAAATCCGGAATACTTACTATGTAGCTTGCAGCCGGGCTGAAGGTTGCAATTTAATTTCACGCTCTCTTTGTATAATTTGATTGAGTAGGTTGGCGTAAATGGCAGGCAGCTTACGTAATCTCAACGCGAGCTTAAAAATGATTCTATTTGCGTACGTATAATGCAAATAAGAATATTTTATCAGTTTTGGAAATATTTTCCCCTTTTCCTTTTGCTTTTGTTTTTCTTGCTCTCCGGAACAACAAAGATCGCGAACTCGCCTTGATTAGAGTGGTGATGAAGCGCTAATGCTTTTACACTTCACAACATAAACTTAAAACGCATGTCTTATATAGAAATTGATGTAGCGTTAATGTTCAAGGCCTTTAAAGGCAGCCTTGAACTACGACCGTTACGAAGCGAAGTCCCCTGGCCCCGGAGCTTGCGGAGGAACGCCAGGGAAAAGATCTCGTGAGTTCTAATATACAATTGACGAGCCCCTCCATTAGGGCCAAGGGTCATCGACCGGATATCGACGATATCCTATAATCCCCCAACCTTCCCAATTAATAACGTCACTCGAAGCTCTCAACATACCTTCTCTTTGTTTAAAGCATGCGGCCTTTAGATCCAAAATAGGCGACCGTAGCAGGTCTGCTGGAACCATCATTTCCAGCTTCCAATTGGCAGATGGATTTGGTTGAAACCATGAGAAGCGCAGCGCTCTCTTGTAATCTGCCGTCGAGAACCTGATGTAATCCAAGATGACTTCCTCGCTTTCGTTCCATAAAAACTTTCGCTCTATCCTATCATACGGATCCATTCTTTCGTAATATTCCGGAATATATATTCTGGGAAAACTTGGTAGCCCATTACCCGTTGAAATGACACAATACCACCCATCTGTCGTATCTATTACGGTGCTAGGATCGTTTGCTATTTGAATTATTAGCTCCGCGTCATAAGTGACGATTCATATATACCAGCTCACATACATATATACATGCCAGATCCTAATCGACGACGGTCTGCGGAAGCTCTAAATCCCGATACCACTAATACGTCGAATTCACCGCCGGGTGGAGCATTTCTCTATAATCGGTGTAATGAGTATAAGCTTTAACAAAGTAAGTGAAACTTACGTTTATAAGGGATGCATAGCCAACGATATATCTCCCTTGAGCTTCAACAGAAAGAAAGCTCAAAGCTAACAAGATGATCGTGAGGATAGACCCTGATCGTAGCATCGTATTTATAAAAGTCTTTTTGTAAAGCGAATTAACGAGAGGGAACAAGCTCACGAAAGAATAAGATAATGAGGTGAATGTAAAGCAGGTGTAAGCAGGTCCAAGATCTACAGAGATGCAAGAAGAAATATATATCTCTTTTTTTGATTGTATTCGGTATTTCTGCGTCGGCTATAAATAATCGTGCAGCTTATGATAATCAGCGCATTGACTTCTACAATTAGCTTCTTGCTTTTAGAAGTATATCAATATGAAAGATCATTTCCGATATAAAGTATATATAGTATTTCAATATTTGTTTTCGATTTTCAAAGATTAACGAAATTAATCGTAAGCCTGGTCAGAGTACAAGTCAGAGGCAAGGGCAAGGCCACCAAGGAAAAGACCTCGCCTTAAGATCCCAAGAGTTGCGGCGTCAAGTCCCACTATTTCGAAGAATAAGCTTCTCTTCGCCTCCTTTCTCCTTACGTTAAAGGGTGTGTTTGGCTCGCAGATGCAAGCCAAGTTGCACTACCGAAATATTTTTGCATCTTTAAGTTGCACGTCAAGATGCAAGAATTGCTCCAATCTGTTTGGCTCGTGCTCGTAAATCTCGCAAAGTGTGCATCTGACCTTGCAACTGCAATTGCACCATACAAATCGGACTTTAAGCAAAAAGCTCTAAGTCCTAAGTTGCAAGCTTAAGTTGCAAGCTTTTTTTTTCTAAGTCTTAAGTTGCAGTTTGCTATTCAATTTGCTAGTTGCGAGCCAAACAGGCCTTGGTCCGTGCAACTTCTATTGTTACCTTTGAGTTGATCCTGTTTAGGATCAACTTAACTGCTCAGTTGCACGGACCTGCAACTGTGAGCCAAACACACCCTTATTCCTCTCTTCCCTCTTTCACTTCATTTGTCAATTAATGCGCTCCTTGTTATTCCGCTCTCTCCTCCGGCGATGCACCCTTCAGCCAGCGCAGAAGATAATAGCCACGCGCACCATGTCCGGCAGCATGAAAGCTGCGGCTGCGGCGATCTACGCCTGCACTGTGAGCGCGCCTTCAACACTAGGCGCTGTACCAGAAGACGCGGCGGAACACAAACACCACGTAAAGGATGGCAAGGGCTTCACGAACCCATGGGATAGCTGGAGGGAGATGAGCGGGCCACAAATCGGGACGTCCATGGCCTGGTACCACCCTGTCTTCCCTTCCACCCCAGATCTTCCACAACCCGAAATATCTGGCTAATAATGGCTCCCATCTACGCTCCAGGAGGAAGCTTACCGGCTCTCTCAATTACCCCGACACCACCCCGCCGACTGTCACCGTGATCGAGCCCACCTTCCTACCCTCCCGCACTGCCTGCGCTGCCCTCCGCGCAACCTGGCTCGGCCATGCTTGCTACTATGTCGAGTTCCCGTCCGGCTTGCGCGTGCTGTTCGACCCCGTCTTCGAGGAGCGCTGTTCCCCCTTCTCCTGGCTGGGCCCGAAGCGCTATACGCCGACACCATGCCGCATCACCGCCCTGCCCGTCGTCGACCTCGTCGTCATCTCACACTCCCACTATGATCATCTATCCCACCCAACAGTCAAGGAACTGCACAAGAACCACCCCGAGGCGCAGTTCTTGGTCGGCCTGGGCCTGAAGAAATGGTTCCAGGAGTGTGGCATTGAGAAGGTGGTCGAGATGGACTGGTGGCAGGACGTCGATGTTACTCTCTCTCCGAGTAAGGGCGAGAAAAGGATCTCTACCGCGTCGCCGGCAGCGGAGACGGAGACCTCGCCACCGGCAGATGGAGAAGGCAGTATCACAGCGCAGATCTCGTGTCTACCATGCCAACACACATCCGCCCGAACCGCGTTCGACAAAGGTCACACGCTGTGGGCATCTTGGGCCGTCTCCTCCGGCGGCAAGAGCGTGTGGTTTGGCGGCGACACGGGATACCGTGCTGTGCCCGAAGTACCAAAGGGCGTGGATGATTACGGTGAGACATACAAGGACTTGCCGCGCTGTCCGGCTTTCAAGCAGATTGGGGACCTAAGGGGACCTTTTGATCTGGGACTCATCCCGATCGGGGCATACGATCCTCGATATGTCATGAGTGCGATGCACGCGAATCCGTTCGACAGTGTTAATATTTTCATGGACACGAATTGTAAGAGAGCGATGGGTATACATTGGGGAACGTGGGTTCTTACTACTGAAGATGTATTGGAGCCGCCTGTCTTGCTTAAGAAAGCGATGAAGCAGAAGGGCCTACCAGAGACAGGTGTCTTTGACGTGTGCGATATTGGGGAGAGCAGGGAGTTTCAATGAACCGGGAGGAGTGAATTTGATACCGAGAAGGCGTTGTTATCATTGTAAAAAAGCCTCGCCAGGCCATGTAAAAAGAAAGGAACACTTCCAAAACCCGCAAAGCAATCGGCATTTCCCATGGAGTGCATGCTGATGGCCTGATCATTAGAGGACCCCCATCACTGATATTGTACACTCTCCGCGCCCACCCAGAACCTCCATTAAATGAAAAGCAATGACTTTTTTGAAATCAACGAGGCGTTAGTAGCAGATAAATCATGTATCCATGTCAAAATCATTCCCACCAGGCTTTAATATTGACTTGTTCAGTCTTGAATCTATGATATGTTAACACAAATACTCGTGCTCAATCTAGGGGCAAACGTACCAATAGCGGGGGCGAGGTCTCTCATAATCATAAGGAGCATCTCTTGGGGGGTAGTCTCTTGGTGGAGGACGATCATAAGGAGCTCTGCCATTGACATATGGATCAGGTGGGTAGTCACGGCGGTAGGGATCCTCGAATCGGCCACGGGGAGGTGGATAGTCATCAACGGGACCACGAGCTCTTGGGGGGGAACGGTATCCACGGCGATCATCCTCATAGTAGCCACCACGGCGCGGGGGGCTTCTTTCACGGTAGGTATCCCGTCGGGGGCTGTATCCACGGGATGGTGGTCCACGACGATCATAGTCATCAACAAGGTGAGCCCGACGCGGAATTGGAGAGCGCGATCGACCTCTGTCACGGGGGATATCCGGTTGGGTCTGATATGGTAAGCCGAGTCGATGAACAGGCACAAGATAACTTACATCGGCGATACAAGTGACCCGGACTCCCTTGAACTCACGGCCGTCAAGCTTCTCTACCGCAGTTTTAAGATCCAGAGCAGTCTCGAACTCAACAAAGCTGCTGTTTTTGTTTAGTAAATGTTCATGTAAAGAAGGAAGATTATCTGACCCCTTGCCATCCCGATCACGGCCGGTCTCGGAGTACACGACGTCGAGGCTGGATTGACGAGCGAAGTCTTTCAGATCCTATATCCAGATCCATGTAAGTCGTTATCCTGGAAGGTTGGTGTACAAACGCCAGGTATTGTTGCCATCCGAACGAAGAGGTCTGATGGTCCATCCTGCGCAAAGTGATCGCTGTCCAGATACAAGCTACAAGAATAAAGTCGAGACAGGATATGAAAGGCCAGATACAGGTAGAGATATCCACCAAGTCCAAAGCTGCTCGGGCAAATGTACTAGCACACTTGCAGTGGTACTGATCACCAGAGCAGGGCGTAAGGCCGGCCAGGACTACGAAGAGTCTATATGCCGAGGTCTGTGAGATGAAGGCGTCCCAGAGCATGTTGTTCGTAGTTCAAATAGCAGCGTTCTTTGAGATCCAAGAGTCCGAAGGAAGGAACGGAAATAACAGACCTGCCAGCTGGTCTCACCAGGAAGTCCAGAGATTTGCATGCGATGGGGGGTACGTCTGGGACGCGGCGCGGTGCGCTCAGAAGCAGCAAAGGTATCGCGGTTGCGGGTACCGCGAGCAAACTGAACGGTCAAGCGCTCGCCCATGAAGTCCGAGCCGTGGAAGGCTACACGGAGTATAAGTTATTATATGGTATCGACCTTGGAGTTGTTGTGCGGTCATACCGGGAACCACATCGCGAGCATCCATCGCATCCTTATACTCGATGAATCCGAAACCATTCATGAGCTTGATCTCAGTGATCTCTCCGGTGCCATGGGTGTTGAAGTGCGCCTCGACATCAGCCTTGGTCGCTGTTCTGAGGTCAGCGGGATATCTTTGGTAGGCCTCGTCGCACGCCGAAGATATCGCAGAGGCTGCCGTCGCGTAGATGTCACTCACCATTGCGAGGAAGATTGCCCAGGTATAATCGGGTGGATGACACCTCGGTCATTGTAGGAGTTGTCGCGCGGTGGGAAAATCGAAGAAGTTGGGCTGGGGATGGGAAAATCGATGGGAGTTGAAGTTTTCTCTCGGTCGCTTGTCGGCGCGAGACGGTCTAGCTGACGGAGTGGCGGATGAGCGCAAAGTGATGCTGGGTGAGGGTGGAGGTGAGGAGGGTGGAGGTGAGGGTGGAGGTGAGGGTGGAAGTGAGGGTGAGGTTGAGGATGAGGGTGAGGGTGAGGGTGAGTGCGATTGGATGCGACGCGTAACACCTGGAGACGGGTTGGATCAAAGTGAAGGGGATGGGTGAGGTAATTGGTGGATGTTCGCTAGCTTGGAAAGTCACGTGCTGCTGGATGGACCCAGGGTCTTGATTCTTGATTCTTGGTTCTTGGTTCTTGATTCTATTATATCCGTCTCTGGCTCAACTCCCACTGGAATGGATTGAGCTGAGCCACGGATCGTCGCATGTTATTGTCATTCCTGAATCCAGGAATTTTCAGTCGAGACAGCAATCTCTGCTTATTGTCCGTCCGCAGGCTATCATCAACTTTTAAGGGTGCATTCTTCCGTATATTCAATACATTGTCATTACCCAACTCCTACAGCACCACGCCCGCGAGCGTTCAAGGTATCTACCGTATCTATCTGACGAGAAACGCTACAACGTCCCAAACCCCTCCTCGACCGACTCCCCAAGAAAATATCCAGGCAAGCAAACACGGGAAAGAATCAGACACTTCAATTCATCTCGGCGTCCTGGGTATCATCCGTCCCCTCATCATCGCCTCCGAGCTCATGCTCAACTTCATCTACCACAAACCCTTCATAGTCCTCGAGATTCTTCTGAACATGAACCTTGAACTTGATGATGTCGTTCAGCATCTTCTCAATCTCCGTGTGCAACTCTTCACGAAGGGCGTTAGCACGCAGGGTGAGTTGTTCATACCTAAGACAATATTTTTAGTCATCAATCGTGGTAAAGATGCAGGTGGTCACACTTACTCGATGTTTGTATTCATTTCGCGCTGCTCCATCAGTTGAACGGACTCGGTGAGACCAGCTCGCATCTTGGCTAGCTCCTTCTCCATCTTCTCAATTTGAGTATCTGAGGCGACCTTTTGAGTGCTAGTGACCTAAACTTTGTTAATACTCGTATATCTGAATGTTTTGAATCTGTGGCTCACCTCTTTTGTCTTCTCATACTCCTCTTCAGCAGCCCGAACACGGTGCTCAAGAGCTTCGACCTCCCCTCGCTTGTCCTCGATAGCCTCCTTAATACCATCCAGCAGATCGTGGTGCTTCATCATCTCATCCATTGCGACTGTCCTTCGTTCAGAAATCTCCTTTCTAAGACTCAAGAAGCTGGCCTTGACTTGTCCGCGAAGATCGAGGTTCAGGATATGTGCTGGTTGGTAACCGGTGACAGGGTCTGCCAAAAGTCGATCGCTGTCAGGGCTGCCACTTCCAGAAGCACCCATCTGTGAGGAAGAAAAATTTGGACCCTCGTTGGCAGTGACTTTGAGCTCATAGTTCTGGCCTTTTGCATTGGCTGCAGTTGCAGGAATGAGTCCAATCTGGTATCCAAGACTGTTGTACTTTTCGACCATGCGCTCGAGCTCTTCAAGTCTGCGGCTGGCCTCGTCCTCCTTGTCGGACACTTTCCTTTTCGCATCCTCGAGCCTCTGAGAAGTCGATTCGATGCCTTTTTGAAGACGCTCTCTTTCAACAGTCATGCGATCAATATCAGCCATGCTGATGCCCTGGTCATCGACTGCTTTCTGGAGGTTTGATCTCTCATCATCGGCTTCATTCAACTCAACTATAACCTTGTCCAGCTCCTCTTGAAGAAACTGAATCCGAGATTCGTACTTCTCGGATTTCTGATTCATCCGGTTGTCGAATTCCTCAAATTTGACTTTGTCTTCCTCCATGATCTTGAAATTTCGATCGAGAATAGCAACCTCAGTTCCAGACTTTTCAAGCACTGCAATTTCCTTCCGAAGTCGCCCATTTTCTCCCTCGAGAATCTGCAGCTCATCCAAGTATTTTGAATTTGACCTATCGAATTCTTGAGCCATGGCTTCAACGTGCGGCGCCAAAACCCTCTCCTGCTCATCGTCGCTAGCTTCGTCGTCCATTGAAAGCCAATCACGGTAGGCGCCACTCAGAAAACCGAAGACGATCTTATCACCACTGATATCCACACCATTCTCGGCACAGGCATCGTCATAACGACTGGCTGCGTATCCATCTAACATCAAAGCAAGTTGCATCATCCAATGCAACATGCCAATGTACAAATGCCAGGAGTTTGCCGATCCAACAGCCGCAAGTGAACTCTTCGAAATGCTCTTGGCGTACGGATAGCGTAGCTGAAGGAGAAGTGGCGGGACCTCTTGGTCAATACTCTTCTGGAAACGGTAGCTCGGATCAATACGATGGTACAGCCATTGGAACATGTAATTGAAATCCTTTGACGTGGGTGATTTCATAACATTCGGTTGGAAAACATGGTTCATCTCCATCTCAAAGTTATTTTCGGCCATGTAGTCCAGCAACTCCTGTCCCATCTGATTCTGGACAGTACGGTCTCTGAGGCGGCGAGGATCCACTGGAACGCCTGCTGCCTGCGGGGCTTGCTGAAAGAAACTTTGACGGCTCGTAGGTCCGTTCGTGGAGGCTCTGGATCTGTATACACTGCTCCTGCGCTCAGAGCTCTCCTGAGACGGTATTCCTGTCGTGTTTGGTGGTGCCACACTCTTTCGTCCGCCGCTGTTCTGGAAAGATGCGCGCTTGACAGATGACATTCCAGCCTCCGCCAGATTTGCGCCAGATGACAATTGCTGGAATTGAGGTTGATTTGGTCGCGATGGCGCAAGGGAAGGTCGAGACCCAGAGATGGAGCGCACATGGCTCACAGTGAAGGGCACGTTCATGCCGGCGCCAGACATCGAATTCGAGCGTTTCATAGCAGAAGCGGGTTGTGGGATGCTCGAGTTGAAGTTGATACCTCCGAGAGTCTGTACAATTATTAGCGTATAGACATATAACATCTGCAGCATGGTCTAGATGATGATCCCGCGCAAGATATAAAGGGACGGCATCATACCTCTCGTGGTCGTCGCACGGAGAAGAGTCCCGCGTCTTGCGACATTTTCGTTGATCGATTGTATTATCCAGATATTAGGGCAATGTCCAAATCAGCAATATGGTCTCTGCTATGGATGCGTTCGTGGTGAAGATGCGGTGTTGTTGGAGTGTCTGCGATGCGACAGGATAAACAAAAAAGTAAACAACGATTAGCGGCTTGGCATCCATCATCAGCCTCGGTCCCGGTCCCTCGATATTTATTCTTCCCAGATTGTCTCAACCACCATCGCGTCGTCGCATTCACATCGCTGAGGTGAACGGATACAGAAGCCTCGGAATCAACATGGCGGTCCGCGAAGATATCGTTGCCTCTGCAGTAAGTCTTGAGCTACCTCAACGCTGAGCGTTGCTAACCAACTTGAAGGTTACATGTGAGAGCTTGCGCCGACGAACTTCTTACCCAATACTGATTCATATATCCAGTTCTGCAAGACCCGAGCGTCGCTGGGTCACCGATCGAGAACCGCGTGGCATTCTTGAAATCGAAGAACCTTACCCAAGAGGAAATTGATACAGCGCTGGCGAGGGCAGGAGGCGAGACGGCGCCTGTGAACTACTCCAACTATCCTCCTCAGCAGCAGGGAATGCGACAGCCACAACCTGTATATGGAGCATATCAACAACCAACCTGGCCTCAAGCGCCACCTGAAGTGCCGAAGAGGGACTGGCGGGACTGGTTCATAATGGCCACAGTAACAGGAGGTGTTGGGTACGGACTATACTTTGTTGCGAAGGTAGGTTTTGCGGATCTACTAAAGCCATGTTATTGACAGTTTCAGCGATACATATACCCAATGATTGCTCCGCCCACACCACCACAACTGGAGCAAGATAAACAAGCTATCGACGACTCTTTTGAGAAGGCATTCTCGCTCTTGGACCAACTGGCTAAAGACACCGAAATCCTCAAGTCTTCTGAACAAGCACGTACAGAGCGTCTAGATGCTGCTATGAAAGAAGTTGAACAAGTTACCAGCGAGCTGAAGACTGCAAGTAAAAGACGAGAGGAAGAGTCACGGCGCATGGGTGACGAGGTTCGGCGACTGAAAGATCTGATACCCAGGGCAATAGATGGGCAAAAGGAAAATACCGATGCGAGATTGAAAGAACTCAACACCGAACTGAAGAGTCTGAAGACTTTGATGGGACAGCGAATGAACCCCACAACTTCTTCCCCTGCCAGCTCTTATGGCCGGGCTTCAGGAATCGCAGCATCGAATGCACTACCATCGTCACCCGCACTCTCTACTGCTCCCTCGACAGGTGCAAACGGAGGCTCAACGACCGAGTCCACTCCCCCAAAGCCAGCATCGGTGACTAACGGTACAGAAACCGAATCTGCAGCCTCTATCAGCAACCGAAGCGCCAGTCTCTTCAACTCAGGTGCACCAGCAGGCAGAGCCGCCATTCCATCCTGGCAAATGAAGAGTAGCAACTCCGCAACCACCGCGGGCGCAGGCAGCGCAGCGCAAGAAGCCAGTGGATCCGCATAGAGGATTGTAAAACGGACGTGCAATGGCGGTGTGGTGGGAATGGAAACATTGGCGGCGTTTGGTGCTTGAATTCAAAAAGATCAAATATTGAATGTACCACTTATTTACCTTTGTTCCCGACGTGGACGTGTCTCTTGACCAGCAAAATAGTACCGGTAGTACTCGGTGCATCCCACAATACTGCGTCCGGTACCCCAGAGTGCTCTTCCTCCACCATTTAAGCTCTGGCTAGGTAGTAGTTACGTCACGCCTAGTTTCAGCCTTGTGTGTCCATGCCCTTCGCAAGATGCCTACCGGTACCGACCAAGGTATTCTCAGCTCCGAGTCCTATCTGACATTGCCACTGATGTTTCCAAGCTCAACTTTTCGGCTCTCCGGCCCTGCGGCCCTGCGGCTCTGCGGCTCTGCGGCTCTCCGGGTCTCCGGGTCTCCGAGTCTGCGGCTCTGCGGCTCTGCGGCTCTGCGGCTCTGCGGCTCTGCGGCTCTTACAAAGCTACCAGTTACCAGTACCTCAGGCACCCGGTGTTTAAAGCTTCCATTCCCATGACGAAAAGTGAAACAGACGACGCCACAAAATCGCGGATCAAGCTTTTCGCAATGGACGGGTGAGCTAGCATGGTGGTGCCTCGGCATCTCCAGCCATGCTTGATTTTACAATGAATTCCTTGCGGGCGGTCTGGTTCTTCTTGTCGATCCCTTTCTCTCTCCCTTCTTGTTTCTTTTCCTTCACTTGAGTGAGTAAACCGAGCCGTACCTGGTCCCTGAGAACATATTTCTGCGGCCTTCTTTCGCTGCGGCGTTGCTTTGCAGTCTGTGTTCACTGGAAATCCAAGTACGTCACCATCAACACAGTATCCCGAGATGGATAATTCGCCGCTCCCTCTCCTGAAGGCATTCTTGCCCAAAGTGCCTCTCATCGGAAAGACGGCATTCTCGCATACCCTCGGCTTCTGTACGTCCTCTTAAGATTCCACAGCAAAGTTCCCACCAAATCCAACAAGCACTGCTGGCGCAAACCATCTCCCCCCTGAACCTTGCCTTCCGCTTCTCCAGATCTCAAAAGTCATAACGTTAGCTAACTCGTATCCCAGCCGAGCATTCCAGATACTGGGACCTCCGCACAGAGCTCACCATCTCCGTCATCCGCTCCTTCGTTGTCGACTCCCCGCCGCGCCCTCTCGGCCAACTGCAGCGCATGAGCATCAAAGGGTCAGAGGTCAAAGGAAGGATCTGGATTAGTCGGGTGGTGCTGAGGAAACCCGAGGAGGAGGATGTGTGGACGAAGCTGCAGGCTGCTATTGATGGATTGAGGGAAGAGGGGGAAGAGAAGGGGAGGGGGGTTAGGAGGTGCGAGATCAAGGATGTTGAGGCTGAGGTTGGTTGTTTTTTTCGTTGATAATGGCTGCTCCAGGTATTCGAGGCTAGGTTTGAGCACATATGAGGTAGGAGAGGTGGAGCGCAATAAGCGAAGATGGAGATATACATGACACCGATTTGGGATCACTGGATGACGAAAAACAGTGGACTGGGTACCGAGCAGGCGCAACAAAGAACTCTCTCGAGCTCAGGATCTCCGAAGAACAAAAGTACAAGGAGATGATGAGGGAAGTCCGGTCGCCGATCACCATCCTCTATTTTCATGGTGGAGCCTACTATCTCAGTACGTCGCTTAACCGCCTACCCCTTTCCCTCGCTTCACAGCGCATAAACAAACAAACAAACCAGCAAACGAACGAACCCACCATTTTCTCACCTCTTCTCATCTATGTGACCAGTAAGCAGAGCTAACACCCCAAACAGTGGACCCAGCAACCCACCGCCCAACCAACAAGAAGCTCGCCAAGTTGACCAAGGGCCGCTGCTTGAGCGTTAGGTACAGACTTGCGCCCCAGAACCCCTTCCCAGCCGCTCTACTGGACGCCCTAATCTCCTACCTCACGCTCCTCTATCCTCCTCCAGGTTCCCTCCATACGCCGGTGGCCCCCGAACACATCGTCTTCGCAGGCGATAGTGCCGGCGGCAACCTCTCCCTCGTCCTCCTCCAAACAATCCTCGAACTCTCCCGGCAAGGCCTAAAAGTGACCTGGAACGGGACCGAGCGGGCACTCCCCCTCCCAGCCGGCGTCGCCACCAGCTCCCCGTGGACGGACATCACGCACTCCAGCCGGTCCTGCACCACGAACCAGAAATACGACTACCTGCCATCCCTGGCCTCCTCCCAGCACGGCCAGAAACGGTACCCGCCCGACGCCCTGTGGCCCGCGTCCCCGCCGCGCAAGAACCTCTACGCCGAAGATGCCATACTGTGTAACCCGCTCGTGTCGCCACTCGCCGCCAAAAGCTGGGCCGGCAGCTGCCCCCTCTTCATCCAGACGGGCGAAGAGCTCCTCCGTGACGAGGGTCGCCACGTCGCGGCGAAGGCCGCGGCGCAGGGCGTCCGAGTCTGCTACGAGGAGTACGAGCGCATGCCGCACTGCTTCGCCCTGGTGCTCGAGAAGCTGCCCGCCAGCCACGCGTTCTTTGCGTCCTGGGCCGGCTTCATGACGCGGTGTGTGAGCGAACCGCAAGCCATTGTGACGAGCGGGAAGGTCGTCCGGCCGAAGACGCTGGACGAGAGCCCGGTGGATGTGGAGGGCCTGAGTCGGGAGGCGGATGAGGCGGTGCTGGCGCGGATGAAGGCGCGCGTGAGGGTCATGAGTGGGGAGCTGCCGGATACTATGAGCAAGTTGTAGGTTGTCGATATGTATGATGTGATGACTGGGTGGGAGAGATGCTTGTGGGTGAGGAGTCTGGGCTCGGAGCGTTGAGGAGCGGTTGCTTTATTTTAGGTCTTTTTCGAGCCTGAGCTGGATACTCAGTGCACGTTTAACGTTGGCGTTGCATTTACGTCGGAATCTCGCATAGGTAGCTGCATAGTAGACAATACACAATAACCGTGGTAGGAGGCGAGGCAAGATGTATCCTCCCACTACACAGATAGATAGCTCAGGATTCAGTCATCACGTTCACATGAATCACACGCATCATGAAGGAGCACTTGAGAAATTTCGTTCTCCTCAATGCAATATGCAAGCATCGTCCCAATCCAGTAAACCCTGTAAATTTGAATCCATGTCGCAATAGCAGAAGAAGCGTACGTAAACCTGTAACTAGCTTTTATGTCACCAACGTTCTATCAAGAAGAATCTTCTCCTTCTAATGGCTCAGCAGAAAATGCCGAGGACGAAGAACGACGTGAGCACCGAAATACCATCTATGCCTCGATTATGCGATGACTCTCGTCTCCTGCAATCTCCCTTCTCTTTTAGCGAGTTGGGAGGACGGGGGGAATCGTGACGAGTTGGGGTGGCTTAAGCCTTGACGGCATACTTGCGGCGGAACATCTCGTCGACGTTCACAAGGTAGTACGTCGAGGGTGCGATGGTGTCTGCGCTGCCGGTAGGGGTGTAGCTCTTTTGCAAGTGCGCCTTCTTGCGCAATTCACACATCTGCCAAACAAGCATTAGCTCGGGTCAGAAACTCACAGACCTCCATGACGTATAAAACCCCCCTGCCAAGAATAACATGGGAAAAGTCAATCTTACCGAATCGTAAACCTCGGGGGCAACTGTCATTCTGGCGGCAAGTCTCTCCTTCAAGTTCAACGTCTTTTGGATGTTCTCTGTCGAGCCGTTGATTCGAACCGAGAACAGCGACGAAGCAAGACCAGAGCCGTAGCTGAAAATCCCCACTCTCTTGCCCTGCAGAGCCGCGCTGTCGACGTTGCTGAGCAGCGAGACGAGACCACCGTACACAGACGCGCAGTACATGTTTCCGCACATGGTTGGGACTTCGGTGGAGGGGGAGACGCGTTCGGCGAAGCGCTTCTTGGTGAGGCCCATGAAGGTCTTCTCGACGACTTTGTCAGAGAGCGACTTGACATAGTCCATGTCGCGGAGCTCAGCGGGGACTTCAGCGAAGGCGGGGGAGGTGGGGTCTTGAAGGTAGTCGTTGTAGAGGAGGCGGCCGTAGGATTTAGCGACCAGCTTGCAGTTGGGGGCGTGGAAGGTCATGTAGTCAAATCTGTCGATGGGAGTCTTGGAGGACTCGGCAGCTGCGTCTCCGTTGGAGTTGCCATTGTTTCCATTGGCTCGGGACTTCAAAACGGCCTCTCTCTTATTGTAGGCCTTGTAGCAAGAGTCTACGGCTTCGGTGTAGCATCTGTTGGAGAAATGACCGTCGACGATCGGGTACTCGCTGGTCAAGTCTGGCTTATAGAAATCGTATGCATGCTGCATGTAGCTTCCTCGTAGGCCAGCCTCGAACGCTATTGGCGCATCAGGACCAATAAGCATGGCTACGGCACCAGCACCTCCAGTTGGGCGAGCAGCTGACTTGGCGTACAAGGCGATGTCTCCTGCGACCACAATCGCATCCCGTCCGTCCCAGCCTGACGATTCGACCCAGTTGATAGCGTTGAAGACGGCGTTGGTTCCTCCGTAACAGGCATTGACCGTGTCCACTCCCTCAATATTTGTGTTGTCGCCGAACAGTTGCATAAGAACGGACTTGCACGACTTGGACTTGTCCAGGATGGTCTCGGTGCCGACTTCCAGGCGTCCAATAGAGTTGGTATCGATGTTGTACTTGCGGAGAAGGTTGGAGGTTGCGGTCAAAGCAAAGGAGTAGATGTCTGCATATATCAGCCCGAGTCTGCGGGTTATGGGACGAGTATAAGGTTACCTTCTCTATCATCACAGAAGCTCATCTTCGTCTGTCCCAAGCCAATTGTGTACTTTCCCGTACTCACGCCATCGAATTTCTCAAGCTCGACCTGGTCGACGCACTACACGCAGCGCCGTCAGTACGTGACCGCAAATTCCGGCGCATGTAATACACCTTCTCTGAACGCAATTCGGCGTACCTGGCTGGGAAAATAAATCTCAATGGCCTTGATGCCGATGTTTTGAGGGCGGGCAGACATCGTGAAGCGGTGAAGCGGGGGGTACTTTTGCACGATTAGGATTTGTCTGCCTCGACCAATTTTCTCGAGAGGGAGTTAGTTTGACTTACCAGACGGAAAATAATTTGGCTCTTGGGGGACCTAGCTGAGGATAGGAGGTCAGCGAGGGACGAGGGACGAGAGACGAGGGCGAAGGATGAAGGACGAAGGAGGTGTTGTGATATCAAAAAGTGTAAAGAGGGGTGGTGGGGTTACTTATCGACCAGAAAAAGATAGCAGGCGACAATTTACGTACCGTAGTATGTCCTCGGGCAAGGAGGTAGCTGACGCCACTAATGCAGCCATCCAACTAAAAGCCAACGCGATTGCATAAGAGCAGCCAAAGTTTACAAGCCCGAAACTTACTGAGAAAGTGGGATAAGAAGAAAGAATCCTTCGGAGGTGCGACAGAGAGAAAGAGGCGAGGCTTTTACGTTACTTATCGGTTGCCCGCACAACAAAGGCTTCATCCCCCGAATCAACTCATCTCAAATACTCCATATTCCGACCGCCTCCACCGAGAAGCCAATCAGTCATACCACAATGGGTATGGCAAAGCTGAGGCTGCACGGATGGCCGATCTCGGGACCGGAGCGAGGAGAGAATAGAGAATACAGAGAGAGAGAGAGAGAGAGAAAGAGAGAGTGAGAGTGAGAGATGATTGATGTCTGATAGATACACTCAACATATGCAGGAACAGGGACGGAGGAACTACATGATAGGTATGGACCGAACCCCTTTCTTTCTAGCTGGGCTGGGCTGGGCTGAGCTGGGCTGAGCCGAGCTGAGCGAGTCCATCGCCCCCATCGTCTCGCTAGTGCTCTTTGATATGTCAACAAAGAGAACCGGGCCGCTCGCTGGGAGCTGGCTGGCTTGATATTGTTCTCCAGATATCGAGATGAAACATTCATCGATACGTCGACGCCCGGTCTTACATTTACCCAGCCCAGGCGATAGCTTCCGATCTGATTAGAGCTTGCTTTTGCTTGGGTATTGCTCAATGGGGACTTTTGGTCGGAGTCGGAAAGATCTTCTCTTCTTCTTGTTCTTCTACTTCTGAAACAGCTGGTCCGAAGTCCAAAGCAACCATCCAAACAACGGTCCAGTCAATTTGACCCTTGTCCTTGACAGCCAGGCCAGCGAAAAATTCATACGCCGCAAGAGCACTCTCCTCCGCAGAGTTCATTTCTGACAGGTGCCAGTTATACGGCATATGGCGCCTGATCCCGTCGCTTTCAAGTTTCCACCTTATCTTCCTCCGGGATTGACCTGTTTGGGCGCCCGGCCGGAGGAGCGTCAATACCACCCGACGTAGGGCAGACGGAATTTCAGCACATGACTTGGGCTTATGCTTTGCTTTTGGATGGAGAGATGTCTGACTGTTGGCTACGTCACTGTCTACAGATATACATATAGATCTTCTCAAGGCTTGACGAAGCGTGAAGAACCTTGAACCGGTAGGGACTTGTATGTATCCGCTGCTCGGAGATCCCCCCGGGTCTGCAGCAAAGTCAGATAGATATAATTCTGCATTGCAGAATCGTCTCGAACCAGACCAGGACCCAACTCTTCGACACTGTCCCGGGCAGGCTGACTGATGCTGCTTGCTTGTTTGTCTGTCACACTGTCATCATGTCAATAGCTAGGTATTTGAAACCAAAGTACTCCGTAGACGTGACAAGTTTCAGCTCAGCTACCCCTCGGGAGCTGTAGCCTGTAAGTAGTGCTTGATTGGAAGCCTTCGCGTTGCAAAGAGATGCGCGCGCCGGATGATCGTACTGGAAGACTTACTTGAGAAGTGTCCTTGGGATAAGGCTGAATGTGCATGTGTACGGAGCATGATTGTTGTTATCGCGAGGTTGTACGATTAGGTGGGTAGGCGGTTGCAAACATCAATTATCAAGAAAAGCTTGATACCGAAGCTACCGGGCATTAACGGGGTCAACGGGGTTATGGTTATCATCATCGCAATTTTCGTTATTGTTGTTGTTGTTGTTGTTGTTGTTATTCTACTGCCACGGGTCGGCTAGGTCTGACCTTTGAGAGACAAGCGAGGGCATCATTTCCATTTCCATTTCCTCCAGAGTGCACACATACATCTTTCACTCATTCATTCATTTACTCCGTCTACAGCTCGTCCTCTACAATTACTAGCCGACAAGTAAGTTTCGCGTCGGCCAGTAATCACACCCGCTCTTGCGCTCAGGCCCAGACCCGCTGTCTGTTCGGAGGCTCAGAACTCAGAATCTCCGTCCCCCACTCTGTCATTATTGCTCCCTCCCTTCTACTGAGGATAATTATCACAACACCAACACTTCCACGCCTTCATCATCACCACCACCGCCATCACCACCACCGCCATCACCACCACCACTACTGCTGCCACCACCGACACTCCCCTTGACCCTCGCTACTGATCCCGAACCAGGTGGATTGAGTCCATTGCAAGAGAGTGGCCGACGAAGGGATCGAGCGGGTGCTCTGCTCTGCTCGGCTCTGCTCTGAGCCCTGGAAGAGAGATGGCTGGTCCTGAACATCAATCCTCCATGGAGTTCGACAGGAGAGCATCGACCCGCTCCTCTCTGCCTCCCCAGCCACAGTCTATCCATTTCAACGAAGACGATGACGAAGAAGATTATGATCTACAGGCTATGGGGATATCGGATGGCTTCCGTCCACAGGGTGATATGGCAATGACGGGCCACAATCGCAGATCGTCTGGTGCCTCACAATATATACCACCCGGGCGAAGCAGGACTCCTCCGCCACGGCCCTCGAGTACGACCAAGCCTCGTGCACTCGATAGCTTTGCCCTGCGGCACGATGGGGGAATGGCAACCGACCCGAGGAGGATTTCGAGCGTCGCATCGAATGATTTCAACGCCGCTCCGACAAGATCATCCAGTGTGTCAACAGACATGCCCTACATGAGGCCCGAGAGCCCTTACCAAGGACCTTCAGGGCCTTCACATCCATATCAAATGTACCCACAGGAGTCACGCTTAGCGAGGACGGCAAGCATCGCGACCACTTCGACCGCTGCAATCATGGTTCCGGAAAGGCCTTATAATGGTCCTGGTGGCCCAACCCATCCTTACGGAATGTACCCTCAGAACACCGTCCCAGAAGCAGAAAGCGTGGTGGATGTAATGGCACCTGTTCCAGTCGGGTTCCCAGGATTGAACAGTAATTATCAGCGTCGCTTGGGTCCCGAGGGGGAAGAAATGGCGGATATCATTGGGCCGGACGGTCACACAGAGCAACTGCCTCCCTATACCAAATACCCCGATGAAGCGATTGCCAGGAAGATACGCCCGACTGTGGCGATACCCGTGGACGGTGCTGGCGGAATGGGATTGGCAACGCGGAACCCCGAGTTTTCGTCAAGAGAAGAGCTCGAATCTCCTTCACGCCAATCTACGCGCAGTGCCATGTCCGGGCACAGCAACCACCAAGTCAACGTGGCGGCCATTGGGGCGTCTGAGAAACCAGAATTGAATAAATGGCAGAAGACGGCACGAAAGAAAGTTTGCGGTGTTGTCCCGGTCTGGGTACTTTTACTTATCGGTATTGTGTTTGTCGTGTTTGCGATTATCCTTGGAACGGTTCTCGCAGTCTTGAAGCCAAAGCATCCGCCGGGAGGTGGTCCTAATGGCGAAGGCAGCGGCAATCCTCCATCCGGGAAGCGGCCGTAAGATTTTTCCACTCAACTCCAAGTCAAGAAATATTTCAGTCCTACTAACACTAAACGAAGCCTGTATGACACGACCATGACTGCCACATTTGATGCTACCCCCTTCACTGCTTCCCCGACCGGTATTCCAGATCTCCCGACTGGAACCTACGCTCTACCTCTCTCCGCGCCGTCGGCCATGCAGGATAGCTGTCTTAGCAACACCGAACAGAGCTCAGCGTGGTCGTGCGAAATACCGATGACCTCTCTCAACATCGCTGTGACGCCAATCATCGGCGGAAGTGCACTTGCAAGTTATGAAGTCAATTTGAGCCTCGGCAACGACATATTCCGAGAATCCTATCCCTATGGCACTCAACCGCCTGTTCTTTCTCAGGACCACGTTCTCAATCTCATCACCGATTCCCAAGCGAGTGACAAAGGTCCAGCTTGGTTCTTCGAGATGCCGTACAACAAGATTGTCATTCTGCCCGAAACTTCTTTTACGGACCCTGCTGTAACACCCATAGGAAAAAGAAACCATGATAAGAGAGGCGATGAAGAGAGAGGAGAAGGTCGCTCACCTGGTGATTTTCAGCGCAAATATGCCGCTCAGCCAGGGGACATGCCATGGTTCTGCTACTGGAATGGAACACAACTCGAGACTTACATATATGTAAGGCTTACCCTCACAGTGGCTGAATACAATACTGACAAGATGTAGGTTAATCTGACCAGCAGCGCAGGTCAATCGTCCTCGACCACCAGCGCTTATGGATCGTCGCCTACAGAAACCCGCTCGCCACAAGAACTTGGGTATCTTCCTGCCTACCCTAGAGTTCTGAAAATTGAAGAGCGCCGAGTCCTGGCTCCCCATTCAATCCCACCTTACTGTGAGTCAACACCAGCTAGCATACATCTAGTATTGTTAGGCGAGACCTGTATCTAATACCCAACAGGTGTCCAGCACCAAATAGATAAGTACGGTGGGGCCCACGTTGCACTCAACAGCACCAACGAACCCATTGTCGTCTACCTCAGCGAGACCGAAAGCTCCGCTGTCTCCCAAATGGCAGTCCGTGACCTCCGCACCAGCCACGGAGTCGACCAAATGGTAAAGAGACAAGAGACGACTAGTGATTGTGGCTGTGTGTGGTTATGGACATGATGATCGCTTGTGTCCCTGTAGATTGTTGTTTGTCTGGGCTTCATGGCGTTTGGTGGGGATATATAGCTCTGTTCGGCTTTGCATGGCGTCTGGGGCTTAACATCTTGCACATATGTAGGCACAGCTGGTACTGCTTTCACTAAAATTTGCGTGCGAATTTCGAAGGATGATGTGTGTTTGAAGACAACGAAGGAATGAGGGGAGCCAGGAAATGACAGGCACGGAATTGACTCGCTTGTACGTCTACGATGGAATTTGACAGAACAGTCAGGATGTCAGGCCGAAGGGGAGGGAGATCTGACGGCCATGGTAATTGGCTAAGTTATATATACAGCGATATCATACATGATAAGCAAGAATCCAAATGTTCAATTTTATATCTCTGCCTAATCCCACGACGGAGTCTGATCACGTTTGGCTTCGTCTGTTTACATTGCCGCCGACTCTTTCACGTCTCCTTCTCTCGCCTCGCCACCCCTCCCCTTCTTACCTGCTTTCGAATTCCTTCAGTGTTCAAGGGCGACTACCTACAGTACTAACGATGTTATACGGTAATGTATAAACTCCCTTTTTCCTCCACGACCAAAACTGAGGGCCAACACATTTGGGTTAAGAACCCACATTAGCCAGAGTCTATTGATCCTACCCTCGGGGAACTACTACTAGTTTGATTGGTCCATCAAGCTTCAAACCACTTATCTACGTAGTAATAGGACTGGATGCAGAAGTCAGATAAGAGCTGAAATCTCTCGCTCCCCGGGCTCCCACCCCCTCTTTCTCTTCTTCCTTTTTTTGCTTTTTTTTGGGGGAGGGGAGGAGGGGTAGATACGATAATCCTATCTAAAGATTTGCGGGGGTGAGTCTCTAGATAGATAGTAAGCGAAAGCGACGGTCAGGTCGGATGAGTAGCTGGTGGTAGCTATACGGAGTATATCGTGGGTAGGTAGGCAGGTGCTTTTGGAGCGTGATGCGATGTCTAGGTTGTTTTCGGGATCTCGGGATGCGGAGGAGGGGAGGGAGGGAGGGGAGATGCATGATGGAGCCTGTTGATGTGGAGAGAGTAAGGCAGTTTTTATTATGGAGTCGTTTTCGGGTTTGGGTTTGGTTGTGCTGGTTGGGAGGATAGTTAGGTATTCGTTCGTATTCGTTCCTTCCGGATTGGATTGCATTGGATTGGTATTGGTATTGGTATTGGTATTGGTATTGGTATTGACAAGCACGTATTTAACGAGACTTCCATGCCTATCCATCGCGCACACGCACTCGGGCCTAGTAAATAGTAGAAGGAGTAGTAGTAGTAGTAGTAGTAGTAGAAGGTAGGTAGGTAGCCCCCTGACCTCACTCACACCTCACACCAGCTTAAGACAGACACGCAAATATATACCCCCCCCCCCAAAAAAAACAATTCTCTTATGATTCTCAACCACGACATCGGTATCCGAATCGGAAATCCTAGACCAGGTCCCCGCTCTAGCAACATCAACTCTTCCCATCAGGGACAGACAGGCAGACAGTGTGCTGGACTCGAGACCCGCTTGCTTGCTTCTCATTACCTACCTACCTACCTACTCACTCAGCATCCACCCATCCAATAAACAGACAGCCCCTATCTCCGCAACTCGCGATAACCACACCACACCCATCCATACCCATACCCATACCCATACCAATATAAAGCAACCCGGAGAGCCCACTCACTCACTCACTCATCCATCCTCGCCTCGCCTGGCCTCGGCCCAGCTCCAGCTCCAGTTCAGCCACGAAAAGCAGGCGGGCCAGGCTACTTCTCGCTAGCAGTACACGCTCAGCTAGCGCGCTAGCTTTCTGCCTGTCTGTCTAGCTAGCTAGCTGCAGAAGAAGACGTCCAAACTGTCACAAGGCCAGGCTTGGGTGTCCGGACCCCCCTCCGCCCCCCGCTTCTGACTTCTGATAGAGAGAGAGAGAGAGAGGAGGGAGGGAGAGAGAGACGTGGAGGTGGGAGACCGACCATCTCATACCATCCCGCTCGTCGGGCTGGATAGCGAGAAGAGGTGTGCTCCTTCCTCCCCATGGCTACGCAGAAGCGCCACCGCAGCGAGAAAGGAGAGATGTCCGCAAGCACAGCCCGGAGCACGAAGCCCACGCAGACCAGCCGCGAGACACCCAGTCGACGAACCATAGAATGTAATAGAGCATACATGCCTGAGACAAGCTTCAGACACGCCCTGGGTGATGGATGTTACCTAGTCGTAAACGATAGCTTTTGTTGGATGTTCAAGAGAGAAGGGACCCTAGAATTGAAGCGGCAATCAGCTTAGAGGCCAGGCCGGCAAGTGGGAAAGTCGTGCAAGAGCATGCGTGCATTTCCCAAAAATATCTGCCAGTTTTGATGAACCAAGTTTGTAAAATTTCATTGCTTTTTGTGTTTTGGTTGGAAAGGAGTGATCGATCGATCGTCTCGTAAGAACTGGGACTCTTTCGATCACTATTGCCACGTCAGTTTTCACAAACTTGTGTAATGTGAAGAACGAAAGACGGAATGAAAATGCCACCGCGCGCCAAGCTGAAAAGCTAATCTACAAATCCAAGGCCTTGAGAACGCCACTGGGTATCACTCCATGCTAGTCTGTCCGGACGCCATTGATGCAGACCCCACCGTAAAACTTCATACTAGCTACTATACCATTTGGTTCCAACGCCGTGATTCGGAGCGCAAACGAAGCAAGGTGTATACTATCAACAGTCAATCAACCTATCAGCCGTAGAGGTGCTTGTGCACGTGAGCCAGGTGGGCACGCTGGAGCTCGAAGGATTGGTAGTTGCCACCGATGATGCACTCCAGGAGGCTCTGGTTCTTGCGGTTCTCAGAACGTTGCAACTCGCCCATGCGATGCTGAAGGGCATCATAGGCCTCAGAGAAACATTTGCGGATGCCATACGTGTTCGACGATCCTCCAGAGATGTCATTGTCGGGCCTATTGGGATCGATAATGCAGAATTTGTCCGGGGTTCTCTTGTTGTATGGTATGTTTGTACGTTTCTGTCGCTTGATCAGTTCGGAAATTTCAATTTCAGACAGAAGTTACTCACCTTGGGAAGGTATCCAGGAGGGTTCATTATGATTGCAGTTGTTAAAGTATTGAACTGGTTGCCATAAAGGTCGAGGAACTCCATCAAAATCTCGCCAAGATGGTGCTCTGGAACAAGGTTTCTGCTCTGCACCTGTGGCATATTCTGGAGAAGACTTACAACAAGACAGGTAACAGAGAAACCGCCGATACCGCCGTTGACTGGTTCGTTCAAGCCGCGCATTGCCAGAAGATGTTTGATGAGTGTGACAAGAATAGGCACGGCGGGGAACTCCTTCTTCCAATTTTGGAACGTGGTGTTGGCAACGATTCCGGTGGTGTTCTCGAAGGAAATGTCTACCTTCAGACCAGTGAGGCTATCCATATACTTGACAAGTGGTACCTTGGCCTTGCTGATTACTTCAATTTTTTTATCCAGAGGAAATTCGTACTTCTTGAGGAATTCACAGAAGTTTGCCAGCCCTCTAGTGCCCTGACCAAAGATCTTCCGTCCATCAGCTATGTACTCGCGTGAGATGCAGACCAAGTCCATATCAGAGGTGGGAAGATAAAGTCCGGCAGGGAAGGAACCGAATGGCTGGATGTCATCGTCACTGTAAAAGTATTGCTTGAACTTCGACCGGAGATCCTCGACCAGTCTGAGTCGAATCTCCTGCTCGAAGTCTCTCGGCTTGACATAATCGTAGAAATCCATGATCTCTTTATGAAGCCTGTCTCGATAATGAGCACGCATGTTGATTCCAGGGGCACTATCTACTTGCCAGACGCCCATACCGGCGGAATCCGAATGATCAATACTAAGCCATGGTGTGGCCGAAGATGAAGGCGAGCGGGCCCAGCCACTGAGGATCTTGCCGCTGGGCTTCCCGGTTGGCTTGCCTGCCCTCGGCGCGTGAACAATGGGAGGCTTGCTGATGGTACCACGATTCTTGATCTCGTCATTGAAGGTGCGCTTTCTGGTGCCCAGAACAGGGTCGGATGTAAGATCAATGACATTCTTCTTGTTGGCAGGTGCATCATTGGCCTTGGCATTGTTCTGAAAACCCATTTCCTTGCCCGAGTTTTGGGGTAGTTGAAGGGGAGTTTCATGTTGGTTAGGGGGGCTTCGGGGAAGATTGCTACCACTGGCCTGAGATTGAGGTCCGAACTGCTGCTCGCCATGTTGGCGCTCATCCTGATTGAAAGTGGAGAGGGGTGCTGGTCTGGTGGCATTGACCTGATTAGCGGAGCCAGATATCACCCGTGGTCCTGTTGGAGCGCCCTGAACACCGACTCCAGCCTTGACCTCCTCGGCCTCGGATTCCTCATCGTCGAAATCGAAGGAGATGAAGTCGTCTGTAGCGGCAGCCTTGGAAACGTGATCAGCAGTGCTTGTGACACGAGCCTTTCTGATTAGCTTGACCACATCTTTCTTCTTGCCACGGGACTCGTCTGGGGGAGGCAGGGCAGTGTATGGATCTGGATTCGACCAGCGGGGGACACTATCTCCGTCGGCAGCCTTCCCTGTGGTACGAGCTTGCTTCTTCTTGTGTTCCTGCGTTTCATCATCTTCGCTGCCGGATATATCCATATCCTCCTCCTCGCTGTCGGAAACATCGTCAGGCGCGATATACTTGGCACCACTCTCGCCATCCTCATCCATTCCGGTCATCAATTCTGGGGTTGGTTCACGGTTGGTCTTGAGAAAATCACGATCCGCAGCCAGCCTCGGACCTCCGCGACCCCGATACGCACCTCGCGCGCCGCCACGAGCATTGCCAGCTCGCATGGCGGGTGCGCGCTGGTCGTTGCCTCGGAAATAGTCGCGTCGGCGGGCGTGGTGGTTGTCCTGAGGAGCTCTGTAATCCAGTCCGGGAGGGGCATCATGGCGGAAGTCGAAGCTGCTGCTCTGGGTTGGACGGTACGATTGGCTGGTCTCACGGTCTCTATCGTTGTGATTGTAACCTCGATAGCTGTCGTTGCGCGACACACCTGGAGCGTAATCGTTGTATCGGGGAGGAGACCGAGGACGTTGATCGTAGTTGGGTCGGTAGGAGTGGCCGGCGCCGAAGTGGAAGACTTCTTGGTCGCGGGGCCGGCTCTGGTAATTGGATTGGTAGTATTCATCACCTCTGCGCGAGTCGCCGCCGCCGCCACCGCTGCCATTGTACGAGTCTCCGTACCGAGGATTCGCAGGGGGGGCGGATTGCCTAGGAGGCAGTTGTTGAGATGGCCGAGGAGGCAGCCCAGCGGGGAGGGGAGGCTGATGCGACATGAAGTCGTTGTTGTTGTTGTTATTGTGGTTGATATTGTTGCGTTGCGCCGCTTTCTTGTTTCGAGCCATCGTGGGTGGAAGTAAGAGCGAGAAGATTCGTGCGGAGGCTGAACAATCCTTCCTGGAAGCCTGAAGCGAATTTCCCTTGGGCGTGGTTGCTAGCGTGCACGTGCTGACAAGGCTACGGGTACTGTACAAGGCTGAGAGGATGTCGGAAGTGAAGGTGATCGATCACTGACGGGTTTGTTAGCTCAACTTGTACAAGAAATCAAGATTCTCCAAGTATCCGAGTAATGTAGGTATTCAAAGAAGAAAAAGAAGAAGACCAAAATTTTCAGCTCAGCCCAGCCCAGCCCAGTCCAGTCCAGTCCAACCCAGGCCCGAGAGATACCTACTGACTCCCTCCGAGCTGTATTACAAGTAGCATACCGGTACCTACCGTACAGGCATGTGATTGCCCCTCCCATGTAGCAATCCGCGCCGGCATTCCAGACCTTCTGACGTTCTCTCAATCCTCATCCTCTCTGCCTCTTGATCTGCCCTTCTTCCATACTTCTACTCCTCTACACTTCAACACTTCTACACTTCTACTCTTCCACTGCTATTTTCTTCTCTTGCCTCTTCACTCTCCCGAGCAACGACAATCCAACACAAGATAACACAACACAACACAAAATATACACCATATTTCCCCAAGTCCCATAACCAATACTAGCATGCATCGCTTCCTTGCTGGCTGACTTCGCTATGCGCATCAGATACCTGTTGTGCCGTACTACACCACCCGCCACTTACTCTGCAATTAAAACCACTGTACTCGCTCGCTCTCGCCGTGCTCCGTGTCCCAATGCCGTTGCCTTGTAAATGGCTGCATTCGTATTATCCCCCTCCCCCCCTCCCCCCCTCCCCCTTCCCCGGATCTTCATATCCTCACCCCCCCAAGCCCATCGATGACCGACTGACGCCCGCAGGACACCCCTTGGATGATGTCGTCCGCTCCAAGTTCATCGAGGCGAGAAGATGAGGGAGTGCCGATGGCCAGCAATGATCCAAATCCGCCAACCGTGGCGTCCTTCTCCCCCGTCACCCTTTCCAACACGACGTCTGCAACCAAGCAGCGCTCTACTATCCTGGTGCATCAAAAGTCGCCCTTGTTAATAGCTACGCCGCCGCAGATTACGAGAGCTTTGGCATATTCGCATCCGTTCCTTCTGCCGCTTAACCAGTTCGTTGGTTTGTTGACATGGACGAGTGGGGATCCTTGGGAGAGCTTCTTGCTAGTGGCTAGCTTCTGGGGAGTTGTACTATACGGAGATGTACTTATGCGTCTTGCGGGGCCGGTGGTAGTGGTAATGGGATTAATATTGGGAATGTACTCGAGGCGATATTCGCCACTATCGTCGACTGGCTGGACTGGAGAGAAGCAGAAGAAGGGGCATAAGAAGGCCGACCTCGAAGCCACGAATATCAAGCACCAGAAGACCTTGGACGAGATCGTGGAGACGTTGAAGGTTTTTACGGCTCGGTGTAATGTACTACTGGATCCTTTGCTCGAGCTTACGGACTTCCTCTCCACCCAACGAACAGCCACGTCTGCAACCACAAGACCCGCCCTCACTACACTTCTCATTCGGATACTTCTAGTCACTCCGTTATGGATCCTGTTGACACTCAACCCCATCCAAATAATCACCACAAAGCGGATCGTCCTAGTGACCGGGACTATCTTTTTGACGTGGCATTCCCGACCTAACAGAGTCACTCGGACCATACTATGGCGCTCAGCTCTAGTGCGTCGAGCATGTGCTGTAGTAACAGGTCTACACTTTGCAGATAGCGTAGCTCCACAGGCCACTGGCTCGGATATGCCAGCGGTACCTCCTAGACCCCAGCCAGGCATTACCCAGCTTGCTGCCTCAGCAGCAGCCAAGAGAAGGCCTGATGCTACGGGCGTCAGGTTCACATTCATACTGTATGAGAACCAGCGAAGATGGGTTGGTTTGGGATGGACAACATCACTCTTCGCTTACGAGAGGGCAGCCTGGACGGACGAACACCTGAATCCAGCACCAGCCAAGGAGGAATTCGAGCTTCCAGATGTGGATGGTGCCGCTGCCAGATGGAGGTGGGTCGAGGGTAGTCGTTGGCTTGTAGAAGGGGCTGCTGAGTCGGATGAGGGGGGTACCAAAGCTAAGTCTGACACTGTCGACGGTGGCCAGGGCTGGATCTACTATGACAACAAGGTAGGCACTTGTAATCTCCCTTGCTTTTTGAAATACTCAAGACACCACAGTGGCAAACCGGTCGCCGTGGCATCGACGGGTGGGGCCGCTACACCCGCCGCCGAAAATGGTATCGCGATGCCGAACTCGTAGAAGTCACTGCCTCAACTGAAATCACACCCTCATCGACACCAACCAGTGACAGCAGTCCCCCGACCTCCATACCCACCCCCGGCACCTCCCTCACTAGCCCCTCTTTCATAAACCCGCCCCCAGAATACAGCCAGGCAGACACTGCAAGCCTGAAGAGCAAGCACTCTCGTAATTCTGACCGAAGCAGCGAGAAGGACAGCTCAAGCGTGAAGAGCAGCGGCATCTTCAGACCGGGCACGTTGAGGATGAGAGGGACCGAAGGGCATGGTGGGATGAGTGGGGTTAGTACCCCCACGAGGAGTCCGAGGGAAGAGAACGAAGATGTGCATAACGAAATTGCGAATCTGAGGGGAGTGGATGGGTGGGGTATTGGGGACAATGTCAGGATGGGATTAGAATGAGACAATGATTTTGGATGCAATGGATACCATGGCGAAGGCAGGAGAGATAATAGCGTTATGAAAATACTATGGGGAACGGACGGAGCTGTATGATATGATGCAGCGGCATAGCGGGCTTGGGGATTTTGGAGCATGGCACCATCAATATCAATTTACAATCTTTGCCTGTATAAAGAGTGTTACTGAACGCAGATCGACAACAGCCATACCAGATGTCGACGAATGCCATTATGTAGATAGGCACTGCCACAACCCGTGTCTGTATCTGCACACGGAGCCACTAGCCAGCCAGCCCTCAACCACTCTTGTCACCTCGGTCGTAGCATTCGCCACAGTTCCTACGAGTTTGACTGTACGATAAACCTCCCGAAACCTCCATTTCATGCTCTTCACAAATCAAGCTCCAGCGACTCTTCCACCCACAGGCAGTCCTTTGCTTCCCCTACTCGAGAAAATACTCATGATGCCAAAGCCCACGTAGAAGAGGGCCAGCGGATATGCCACCAATCCTCTCATTCCCCTCATGCGTCCTACCACGCAGAACATCCCGCTAGAGCTGTAAGTGCACCAGCCGACGGCCATGCTCGTCAGCAGGTATCCCAGCATGCCATCCATGGGCCACACGATGCCAATCATGCTCGTCATCACCAACGGCAGTAAACAGTATCCCAGCACTGACGCTGATCTGGGGAACGTGAGAGAAGATGAGAGGTGTGAAGATGACGGTGACGGGGTGGTGGACTCTTCGGCAGGCGGTGACATCAAAGACAAGATGGTGTGTAAGGAGACGGAGCCAAGGAGCGCAAGGCCGTAGATGTATCCGAAGTGCACTTTTCCGCTGAAGAGCAGGAAAGTGCCGAAAAGGAGGAAGAAGAGGATCGGGCCAGCGAGGTCGGAGTCGTCCATTATATGCTGGTCGATGTGGGCGAGGGGGTTGAGGACTGCGAGGGTCTGGTTGGAATATCAGCCCATGTTCCAAACCGGTAGTTCCAAATTCCAATATCAAGCTCCAAGGTCCGACTTGGAGCTCGCAACGCACGTCTTCAAGAAGTTGAAGATTAGTTCCAGAGGCACATCGAAAAGCCTACCTTTCCTTGAATGTGCCCAAAGTTCACCCCAAGCTCCACCAGCAGCGGCGGTTCCCCTTCGTACCCCTCCGTCCCAAACGCAGCTAGCCAGCCTGTCCGTAAGCCTCCCTGCTCTCCCATCCGCCCACTCACCGGCGGCGCGCCAAACCCATACCCTCCCCCTGCGCCCCCGTATCCAGGACTCGCCGGCGGCGCACCTCCATACCCGTATGCTGCCTGCGACGGCGCGGAGCCCGGCGCGTATGAGGATGAGTAGAACTGGAGGTTTTGCGCTGAGGACGCGGATGCGCCGTAGGGCGAGGCGGGAGGGTTTTGGGGCGGCGGCTGCGAGAAGTATTGAGACATTTTGCTGATGTGTTTCGTGGAGCTGCAGAGAGAAAACAGTTGGGTTGTAGCTCACTTAAAAGGTGTTGGGTGAAGACAAAAGGCAATGATGTAGAATGTAGATACCGGTGGTGTTGAGCTACTAAAGGTGTCCCTTGTCTTGTGTGGGGCAGGAACGAATCACCGAAAAAATATTTATCCGGTCTGGGTTCCGGGCATCACCTCGACCAAAACTCACGCCTTACATCGATTTCCAGACCCGTCCAGCAACCCTTTCTTGTGTTAAACCGAGGCTCTCTTGAATTCCTTCACAGAATGGTGAGTGATCAATCCCACCATGCATAATTCCTCAATCCAGCTCGGTCAAAAACCAATGGGCAGGTATTCGACCCAAGAACTATACATCTAACAACTTCACAGGCGCACCGAATAATAACTCAAGTTGTCATAACCGGCACGCGCGTCGTCTCGCGCGCCTTCGCCGAAGCCTACAAGCAAGCCTCCGCCTCCTCCCAGTACGCAAAAGCCCAAGCCAAGGCCGGCAACCCAGGCCAGCCCGCATCATTCTCCTCTCACGGCCTGACGCTCGAGGAAGCATGCAAGATCCTGAACGTCAAGCCGCCGCAGAACGGCCAGGCGAACATGGAGGACGTGATGGACCGGTTCAAGAAGCTGTTCGACGCAAATGATCCGCAGAAGGGGGGCAGCTTTTACTTGCAGAGTAAGGTGCTGAGGGCGAGGGAGAGGATTGAGGCCGAGGTTAGAGTGAAGGAAGAGTTGAAGGGAAGGGAAGAGGAGCTGAGGAAGGGGTGGAAGCCTAAGGTATTTAAGGACCGGTGAGAGGGACGGGGTTCGGTGTACGATAGGTGGTGGGTGGTAAGGTGCTAGATGGCGGGTGGATGAGTCTCGGTTCGGTCCCGAAGGAAGACCCGACAAACAAGGCCCCGGACTTGATTTGGAGCAACTTGACGAAAATGGACCGACGAGTCATCGAACCTCGAATCTACGCACGATGGAGAAATCTTCCCTCTATACTCGACATAGCCAGGCGTTTCGGGAGCTGTAATGTGTATTTGGTCATGGTCAGCACTTGCATGGACTGGGGATGTCTATGTTGTATGTTTAAGAGGGGACTTGAATAAGACGATACAAGTCAGAAGGAAGTTTGCTCGGCATGATTCATGGGCTTTAGTGACGATTTTGTGATGATCCAGGAATGAGCGCTGATATATCACATAGGGAAGGCACTATTCACAACAGCAAGGTGGCCGGGTAGGCGCTCAAGCCAACGTTGGTCGAGACTCCAACAGTGGCCTCAGTTCAATCGCAAGGAATAGGCCTTCCCATTTTCTGACGGTTAGATGTTGCAAGTTCACTCAAAGAGCGCCAAATCCTCCATCAACATCAATCGAAGTGCCAGTAATAAAACTGGCCTTGTCACTCAAAAGAAAGCAGACCATGTACGCTACTTCTTCAGGTCGTCCCCATCTTCCCATCGGTGCTCGCATGATCGCTTGTGATCCAACCTGCAATTCGTCAGCCCCTCCGAATTTGCTCAATTTATCTCGTTACTGATTACACTCACAGGAGGAGGAGGAGGACCGCCGTCATATAACATTGGCATATTGGTCGAGATCCAGGCCGGACATATGCAATTTACTCGAATGCCGTGCTTGGCATACTGCACAGCATCGGCTTTCGTGAGGGCCAGAACGCCGTGCTTGGGATTGACGTAGGGCAATATAGCCCGGACCTTGGTGTTGCTTGACAGTGAGCCGACGTTGACAATACTACCTCTTGTCATAGGAGGCAACCCGGTTCTGTCTCGGCAGTCAGCAACTACAGTGCCGTATTCGTAACTACTGGCAACTTCTGGCACCGACCTAACGTCCCGCCTCTCCTGCTTCAAAAACTGTCTGATCTGCGCCTTCTCGCAAAGCATCATACCCTTCATTTGAAGCCCCAAAACCATATTGATCTCATCGAAATCCATATTGTCAAGGTTCTCAGTTTGTCCATACATTCCTGCAGCGTTGAAGCAGATGTCTATTCTGCCAAATATATCGACGGTAACGGCTATAGCATTATCGACGTCGGATTCAACACTGCATTGCGTCGAGATCTCAACAATTTCCAAAGGGGACTTGTCGCCCCTTCGATCTTCGTTTGCCAAGAAGTTGTGGGCCCTCAGCAGGTTGAGGGTCCCAAAATCAACTAGGGCGATTTTGCGGCAACCGTCGAGTATCAGCTGCCGGGCGACAGCGAGACCGATTCCGGTCGCGCCGCCTAGTGGGAGCGTCAGTATACAGATACCTCAGTCTGGTACTGGAGATCAGGTGAGTTTCATCGGGTGAAGAGGGTCTGAATACCAGTGATGAAAGCAACACTAAGCATCGAACAGTTAGCACAGACTACTTCCTGTACGCCTGACAACGGGACGAACCTTTCTTCTGAGAAGTCTAACATTCTAGCTTCTTGTTATTTGCGTAAATGGAAGGAGGATCCTGAGTATAGAAGGAGTCGAGACAGGATGGGACGAAGTCAGGAGAGGTTGTTGACCCCGCTTCAAGTACTCCTAGGTAGTACAGACGAGGGCGACTAACCGAGGCTATAGGATAACAAGAACAGCAAGAACGTGTTACGTCGCACTGTCGTATGTTATGGGCTGAGGTGACCATGACCTACGGAATCTGAGGTTGTGAGGATGTTGTGTAACCGAAGCGAGAATATCATTTTCGCGCTTGGCTAGCGAGAACATCGCAATAAATGCTCGCAGGACGACAGACAGGACCAGTATCTAATGTATCAAACCAAGTCTTAAGTTTTGTCCCTTGGGGCTTGCCTCTACATTCTTCGCCGCGAATTCAACGCGAGGCCGAGTACGTGGTCAATGGGCTTTTCACGCCATCCCAGATTTGGAGATCTCGCTAAGGATGGATGGGCAAATTTTAAGGCTTGGTCGTCGCTCATGTTATTGCCCGGACTCTGAGTCGAGGCTTACAGTTTTGTAGAACAAATTTCGACCTCACGGGTATATATCTGAATCAGCGAGCTCTGGTTCTTGGGAGGATTCTTGAAGCCAGCAGGCATTGTCTGAAAAATGAGACTGCGCTGCCGATGTGTTTCTTGTTCTTGCCTTGGATAACGTGTAGGATATTTGGCTATGTAACTCCGGACTTATGGTATCTGGCCAGGCCTCCCTTTGACGTTGACGTATCCTCGGAACCAAATTGATTGATAGGGGGCCGAGCCCCTTAGAGTGAGTAAACAAAGTCTTGTGATTTTCAAGCGGTGAGCTAGATGGCTTGGAAAACATTCACTGCTATTAGCTTAGGAATAGCCTGAAATATAGGTTGAATCGTGGAAGACTTGATGAGATTGCGGATCATTGATTATTGACGGCCAACCTCGCAAGTTTTGCCAAATTCTATCTATATCCAAAGATGGCGACCGAGATGCCCTTTGAATCAGCAATATGCTACTCACGGTGCAAATTTGACGTGATTTATGACAGAAGTTGCCATACGGCGGAGTCGGTCATTTTGCATTGATTCGAGTGCTCAGGAAGTGATACATGATCTGGTTCGAAACGGATCACGAGTAAAGCCTATGTTCCGCATAGGAGCCCTGGTTTATCGGAAACATTATGCTCTCGACAGACTTGAACGATACGCAGCTTGACACACACGACCTGGGAGCAAGGTACTATTGAAAACCACGCTGTAGATGGGCACAAGTTTAGATTGAGAGATCTCGCTATGCAATATGTCAGCAAAATTCTGGTTAGACATGTATCGGACAATCCTACTGACTCCTATTGTGGACCTCTAAGTCTTTCAAGTCCATCTGTGTCACATTGAAGCTCGGAGTAGCACTCTCGAGTGCGTCAAGTCCGCCACTTTAGCCCAATCTGACCCTCCCACTCTCGGGATCCTCATCTCCATCATTCATTCTCTTCATGACTACTCTCGCATACAAGGAACCAGCAGCGAACGGTAACCTTGGCTTATGTCAGAAACTCGCTCCGACTAGAATCATCATGGTCGCCGACACTGGGTATTGATTTGAAGCAACTCACAAGTAAAGCACGTCAATCATGACCGTTGGGAGAACACCTAACCCCGTCTTCGAGGACAGTTGTGCCATGATCGTAATGACCGTGCCACCCAGCACCCAGCCGGTCTTACATCTCTGCAGCTTGAGGAAGAACTCTGGTGTCAAGGTCCCTATTGCATATCTATGTGCCTCGATAAACAGAGTTGACGCCATTATCAGGTTGCCCAATGCCACCAGCAGAAGGACGCTAATTTAGACGTTAAAGACGGGCGCCGGGGCGGGGGTCTTGAGCAGCGGCAAAACTTACAGCGTACTCCACGAATAGTCCGGCGGCTCAGATGGTCCCATGGCCGTTCCCACAAGAAGCCAGAAGAACTGCGAGACCCATAGCGCAGCTAGGTAGTTGCGATCCCATGGGACCAACAAGAGCTGTTGCTCGTCTGGCTTGGTGATGATGATCCGAGGTGTCGGTTGGGAAGCCGGAGAGTAGAGCGCCATGATTGTCAGAGCAGAAAGGAAAGAGAGGTGTCTCGATACGCCGTGGAGTATAGAGTAGTTGAAGGCATCGTGATATCGCGAGGTTGAAATAGAGAGCTGGCGGGGGGGGGGCCCGTGTCCATAAATAGACTACGGGTGGCGCAGCATACCCTGCTGCACTGAGCTCGAAACATCAAATTTCTAAAGATGCGATGCCATTCTCGATTATGATACTACTGCATATATAGATGCGGCGGGTGTGATCCTTAGCTTCTGCCTAGGTAGCTATTCGGACAAAACCAAAGACTCTGAGAGTTAAAAGTGGAAATATTTAGTCTCGCTTATTTGATTTGTTACTACAGACGACACTTGCGCGGCCTTGGTTTGCTCCAGTTTTGGATCGTATCCCCTGATATCCTACGTACACGGATTTTTTATCCCCGGCTAAACCTCGTGGTTTCAATCCTTTTCCTGGCTCTGATACGTACTGTGGCATCAGGTTTATAGGAGCCCCGAGGCGATAGGTACCTAGCTAAGCGAACACTTTCCAACGCCCTTGGCCATACTGCTTCGAAAAGCTTCACCCTATTTTCAAATTTTGCTGCGAGAGTCCATTTCAAATTCTTCTAGGTGATTCTTGCTGCTCTCGAGTTGTCTGCGGATGATCTTCTATAAAAGTGATTGTTTCCCCAAACGCCTTCGAGATCTACAGTGGTATTACTACCTTGATCAAATGCAACCGGTATCTCAACACGAAAAGCCTAATGTATTCCTGTGCCCCATTTGTCGTATCAATCTACAAGATTCTAGACTTAACCCTGGCGACAGCTTATACAGCGATCTTGAGCCGTTCATGTAGACTGAACGACATAAGCGGTAGCCGAGGAACGTGGTACAAATTAAAAGGCAGGACGGTACTGTGATAGAGATCTCAAGTGAGATTATCTCAACGTTTACATTTTGCAGGGAAATTCTGAATGAGAAATAGCAAGGCTCATCATCCCTTGTATACGAAGCAATCGGACAGGCTAGACTGTCGCCATTAGCAGCAGTAGCAGCACCATCATCGTATTCCAGCGAAACTTCACTATATCAATGTTGGATTCTTTAAGATGGATTTCACGACAGAAGGCGTTATTTTTTGCATAAGTCTAGACCCGATGAAGTAAAGGGTGCAGAGCACAGGGGAAGGGAAAAAGAGCCGCAACCGAAAATCGCAAAACACAACATCGCTTAAGCCCCTCGTCGCTTAGATTCACATCACGTGGAAAGGGACTGATACCATGCCTCTATATGCTCCAAAGGAGAATATCGTTCATCCTTGATCTTCTGATAATTTTCTCCTGGGAAAATTGCTTCTCATTCGCGCGTGGAAACAGATAATGACCACTACCGGTCGGCATTGATTTTGATATTGAATCCGTGTAAATTATCGCATTTATTTGAAGAAAATTGTTGCTGTCGTGATAGTGTCGCGGTATTCTTACTATCCTAAACTAGGAAACGATTATGCGCTTTAATTTAACGCTGCATTTAGAGAGCGAAAGATGTGAGAGAAGAATCGCAATTCTTAGAAGACGGAGACCAGGCCTTGCTATCATCCTGGTTTTACAAAACGCAATTCACGTTTACAGACTCTGGCCTCCTCTCTTCCAGCCCAAAATGCTCTCGAAAGCTTGTGACATGCTCCTGTTGAAGCTGTTGTCATCCAGCAGATACCATCATTTATGTGGGGCGAAAGATAAACCGCAGAATTCTACCTCCAGATATGGAAAAATGATACCCCCTGCACTGACTGAGGTCTATGATGCCAAAGTTTCGGTCTCCGCAGCCCAAGGTCCTGACCAAAAGTGGTTTCATTCTCTCATATGGTTGATCTTCTGGGAGAGCTTAAAGAGGGATGCCATGTCAGACTACGGGGTTGCCATTACATCAGCAACATTGTCCCGACTCACTTGGCTCTTCAACATAAGAGTGGCATGATTGATGAAGCTTGTCTCTTGGCCGGCGTCGAACTTCGCGAACAAAATTAGGATCGTAAAAAAATGACTGCCAATGTAAAGAGCCACGTAGCAAAATTGTAGGACTAGATCACATCTAATATCAACTCCAGGTTTCAGATAAGGTTTGCGTGACTTCCATTTTTGGTTCCGTAGATTACCGATTTTTTGATGTGGAGGCAAGTGGAAGATTTCAGAAACGATCAAAATTAACCCCGACAGACTTCTCTCAAATAAATTAAGAAAATAATCAGGCTTAAGGCTTGAGCATGTCAAAATCTGCCTCACCCGAGCTTCTGGACAATGAGAGCTATGTAGAGAGACTCGACGCGGTCGAAAAGGGATCGAATTGGATATACTTACTTAGTAGTAGATGATAATTCTTGCTGCTCAAAGATTTAATAGTGGGACTTGACGTCGCAACCTTGGGGACCCACTATTAAAGGTTAAATAAAGTTGATGTCCGGAGACACTACTACGTATATTCGCTTGCCATGTGGAGCCCGGAAGGTGGCGAGGCTCACGAGGCTGAGCGCCTGAATAACCACAACAACATTATCAACACCAAAGCAATGGACGACGAAGACGAATTCGGCGCCGATGCCGATTTTCTCGCAGCGCTAGCAGCATCATCAGATGCCCCAGCGCCCCCTCGAGTCCAACAACCAACCCCGCAGCGAATCACCCAACCAACTCCCCAGCGCCTTGATCGCGCTCCTCCTCCTACAACCTCCACCGGGCCCAAAGTTGTGCAACCAACCCCTCAAGCCATCGCCTCTCATACAACAGGATCATCGATTCTCGTCTCTCCGCGCCAGAAGGGAAATCCCATCCTGACGAACCTGCGCAGCTTCCCCTGGGAATTCTCCGATGTACCCGCAGATTATGTACTGGGGTTAACGACATGCGCGTTATTCCTGTCACTGAAATATCACCGGCTGCACCCGGAATACATCTACAACCGCATCAAAGGTCTCCAGGGAAAATACAACCTGCGAGTTGTCCTTACCATGGTCGATATTCAGAACCACGAGGAGTCTCTGAAGGAGCTGTCCAAAACTAGCTTGGTAAATAACGTTACGGTCATGCTGTGCTGGAGCGCAGCCGAAGCTGCAAGGTATCTGGAGCTATATAAGAGTTATGAGCATGCAAATCCTAGCGCGATTCGAGGGACTGAGAGCAAGGGTTATGCAGAGAAGATGGTAGACTTTGTGACGGTGCCGAGGAGCATTAACAAGACGGACGCGGTGAGTATTGTGAGTGCGTTTGGGAGTATCAAAGGAGCTATCAACGCGAGGCCTGAGGAGGTTGCCGTCGTGGGGGGGTGGGGCGAAAAAAAGGTCCGGAGATGGTGTGCCGTTGTTGACGAGCCGTTTCGCGCAAGGAAGGCCACGAAGAGAGTGGCAGGGGTGATACCTCTGAGAGAAAGTTTACCTTCGATGGGAGAGAGTGGAGATGTCAGGCCCAAGATGTCAAAAGAGCTGTCAACTTCCGATATAGGAAATCAGAGAAAGCCCGAAGCGCCGAAGCCTCCGGAATCTGAACAATTTCAGATGTGGGATCCCGATGATGATGATGAGGATGCCTTGCTTGCTGCAGCCATCGAGGAGGAGCAACGAGCTGAAGCCGACAAGAGCAGAGAAAGAGCACGCAAGGACGACGAGTTGAGTGGAGGAGTTGCTGCTGCTCTGGCCAAACTGAGAGATAATCAATGATAATGTACGTTTATGCAAACTTTCTCTTTGACAGCTTCTCTTCGCAGGGTCTTTTCTTTTGTAGATGAGAAATATGGGAAGCAATTACTGCGAAGCACAGTAAGTGTCCAAGTCTTGGGTTTCGGGCTCTTAAAACATCGAAGAACATTCCATCGGGCAGAGATTCTTGGAAGTATATAAAGTGAGGAGGAGCATTGAGCCTCATATATTCATCTTTGAGGAGACCCAACCCAGCCCAATTCTTCGAGGCTATAAAAATGCTTTCTGGCGACGAAGCAGCGGAGTGGCTGGATTCCAACACAAGATATGCTGGATTTGTTGAAAATCGAACCAATACCACGTCCATGGATGATGTTGATGAATTCAAAGAGGCGTGCAAAATCCAGTTCCCGGCTTCTCCATTTGTTTCTTGTTGTCATTCATTACCGCTAGCATCTTGTACTGAACCTTTCAAACGACAAAATTTATAATTGACAATGTTCCTTCTGTAGATAACACGATCGAGTCGGGGTGATTCTGTTTCAAGACGTGTTAGCGGAGTCACAGAAAATCAAAGCAACTAACTGTCGCGACTCCGGGTGGGATCCAAAGGTGACATGCAGTGAGCGGATGTTCTTGTCTCCTCCCTCAGCCGTCCAGTAGATCGACTCCGCCGTCCGCCGTGTTCTTCGACGGAGACACCCTTGCCAACGCTCCAGTTCTTCGCTGATCAACTTATACGCACCCGTTCAAACCAAAGGATATCTCCTTGAGGAGTCGTCGTTGGATAAACAGCCTTCTTTGGGCTTGAGGAACCGTTTGCTTGCAGACTCCATCTTCTTATGTAAACTCTAAGCGAGGGGCGTACAAAGCGTGACCGCCAACACTCAAAGGGAATGAATGGTCGGACTGCAAAGTGGTGATGCATTTCCACTGCTAGTAGATTTCTAGCCTCCTTTTCGCAGCGACTCTGATTGCTGTCTAGTATCCCTTTCACCTCTATCAGATCTGGTGAAAGGCGAGAAACTGAATAGAAGAATTCAATCTTAACCGGGATTTACAGTAATTGTAATGCTTGATATCTACAAATCCCCAAACTGGCCGATTCAATGCTATACATCTCCTCCCCCCCTCCCTATTCCATCTCTTGGTTTTTCTATACATACAGGCTTGGCATTGTAAAGCATCCACGATCTCTGATCAAACAAGCGTTTTGACTTTTCAACGTATTTTCTATCCACGATTTGAAACTCGAAGTCTTTCCTAGTCCTTGGAACTGTGACCAGTCATCGTCACCAGACTCTCTACACAGGATTGAATTTTATGCACATATCAAAGACGTTTTCTGATCTTATTTCGGAAATTTGTCTCGCTGTTACCAACTTTAGTATTGTAGCTGGACTGACTACCTGCTATCAAACCCAAGAGCTTCCCAATTGAGTTCTTGCGCGAACCTGTACGAACAAACAAGTTAAATCTTAGACATCCCGCGTGGAAGACTCTGCATATGAAACCCCATGGTAGCAGCGCAAATATACGGAAGCAGCAAAGCACTTTACCGGATATCAGCAGCTGCTATGACGATCATAGCTCTTCAGACAAGACTCGGATGTCTGCCCTGGCATCCCTTCCTGTCTGTCGGAGTAGATAGTCCATACCCAGGGATGGAATATATATCATTGGTATCGGTGATCTATGGATGCGTCAACAGTGAGGTAGCGAGCATCGCCAAGAAAGGGGTTGAGAATCTCGTTGGTTGAATTTCTCGTGGTGATGATTGATTAGGTAGACTGAAGCTATGGATCCGCAACTGATAACCGTGGCCGCTGTGATTGAGGACCGTAGGCATGCGGGTCATTGCTTTCTTTCTTCACCCATCACCGAGCACATGCCACAGGAAAAGGGGTTGAATAATTAAGCGGGACTTGCCTCTTGATCCGAATTCAATTTCCAAATAAAAGATTTGAAAAGCATTGAGCTAAATATGAAAAGCAGTAAACAGGCTCAGGCTCAGGCTCAGGCTCTTCTTATATTTTGTCGTCACAATACGAGTACGGAGGGATAGCATCCACAAGAGAGACAGGTGGATGGTCAGTGCCTCCTGCTCTTTGGACCAGGAAGTTTCAAGTTTGAAATTTATTGTATTTGAAATTTCCACGCTGAATACCAGGCGCTAGCTCTAGTATTGCCTATTTTACTCGCTTGCTTTCGTAGCTAGTTGGGCAATAGGCTAGCCCAGCTAAATTGCGGTTGCCGCTCAAAACCCGTGCTACCATGCCCCTTTGGCAAAAGCTCCATTGAAAGAATGATAACTTTACAAAGACGCATCAAAGCCAACACCTAAGCCCAACTCATCTTTGCGTATCTTCTTTGCAGAAAGAAGCTCATGATCAGTCTTTAGCTTGCGCTTAGTGACTGGGCCGTATATTTTGGACTGTGCATAATTGTTGGCGGGCAAAGTAGTGGATGTACGGGAATGTGCAACTTTGGACGACTCTCTGTGACTGGTGCGCAACATCTCAGTAGCCGATTGACTAGCTTGGCTCTCTTGGACTTCTTCAGTGTGATCACGGTCACGGTAGGCTGCTCGAGAGACCTCATCGCTATCAGAGGCAGAGATAGTGCTATCGCGACGACGTTGACGGGTAGAAGTCTGCTGTTGTTGAGAAGCGTGATGTGAGAGTGTATTCAGCAGCCGGTTATCGGCGTGGGAGGAGAACTGGGCAGAAGGGAGCAAGGTCGAAGTTCCGGTCATTGGTCTGGCCGATCCAGGGGTGGCGGGGAAGGAGGAGAGGGACTGAACTCCTCGATGGTGCCTGTTAGGAGTATAGGGGTTAGGCCGGCGGGGAACAGTGGGAGTAGACGGCGCACTGGTATTTTCTTGGCTCTGGAGGTTCAGTACTCGATTTCCAGCCTCGATGAGAGCACTGAATCCTGATCGGGCATCCTGGTGCTCTGAGTACCCATAGTTGGAGCGGCTGGTATTGGGTGTGTGCTTTGGGGTTCCACGGTATTTGTGGGGAGTAGCTGGGGTGGTCTTGGGCGTGGAGAAGTGGAGTGGTCCACCAGGACTGCGCAGGGTATTGATATGCTCTCTGTTCTGCCTAATGCGTGTTTGCAATCGGAAGATCTCATCCTTGGCATCCATAAGCTCGCCATCCTTCATCTCAATGACCTGCTTAGCTCTCTCCAACCGACGTCTAGTCACGGCATTGTCTTCCTGGATCGTCTTGCAGTAGGCTCGCATCTTCTCCGTATAGTCGACCTTAGGCATCTCGCGACCGTGGAATTGGAGTACCTGGACTTCCCGTCGGATAATGTCGTGCTCGACCTCCATGCGCTTCAAAGCCTCTTCGCTCTCGATGGCGAGGAGGGTGTACTGAAACTTCCAGTGGGCAGCCGTCATGCGTGCCTCGCTACCTTCTCCTTCCAGCTTCATATTCTCCGCCACAACCCTCCGAACCATCTCCCTCAGTGCCTCAGGACTGGCGTTGTCGATTTGCTCTAAAGTTGGACGAGCAGGCGCAGGCTTGTCGGTATCTTCTCGCCTCTGGCCGCGAGCATCGGTAGTCGGTGGAGAGGACATGGCAGCTGCAGAAGCACTGGCTCTTCCATGGGGGGGGATCTGCGAGGATGGCGGAGGTGTGATCGACGGCGCAACCTCTATGGAGGTTATGGGAGAGTATGATCTCGGGACATCGGCCTTTGGGAGCAGTTCGGTGCCGAGTAGCTGAGCTGTAGACGGGCTCTCTTCTGGGGTCGAGATGCTCCCGAAGGATGATGATGACTGGGAGGCCATTGTACTGAGGTTGATTAGCAAGACCCAGGTAGACGGTAGATAGACGGTATAGAGTCGGCATACCCAAGTGACGGAAGCGATAAACACGAGCAAAGATCAAGGTTGATTTGAATGGTTCAGGAGATGCACTGTTCGCCCAACGCGGTTTTGAGTGAGAAGTTATCGCGCACACGCGGGATCGTGAGGCGTACTGCAATGAATATGTCCCTTAGATCACAAAGGCGTTATGACAATGCAAGAGACGGTGGGTGTTGTGAATAGAAGGGGAGACGGGGCGTTCGATGCGACGTGAGCAGCTGTGATAAGATTCTTGAGAGACCCCGGACCTGGGAAGAGCAGCGGAAAAAATAAATTGCGGCCCCGAGGCTCTGCCATGGCAACAATCAAGGGCTTTACTAAGCCTACCAAGCTTACTAAGAGCTTCTGAGGGCCACGCCAGTGTCACGTGATACCGTGTTGGGGTGTACCGTAAGTACAGAGTACAGATTGGTGAGAGCTTGTTTGGGTCTAACCGTCTCGGGAAGTCCGCTTTGGCAGAATCTATACCTCTTTAGTTAACCGAGCCAAACGTGATATAAAGCTCTAAATGTGAAGCATTAAGGGGTACAGCAAATGGAAGCGAGACGAGGTGAAATAGAAGCTAAGCGATTTGGCAAAATGCTTCTGACTCCGCGCAGGTAGAAGAAGACATTGTTGTTGTATAAGAGAGATCAATATATTTGGGGATGATGGACAGGCGTGGGAATTATTCTGCCGAGAGGCTTCTCGGAACCGTTAGACCCAAACCCACTCTCATCAATCTATACGGTAGTAGTAATTTGGAGAAGTCATAAGTATCTACTACCCACCATCTGATATCTCTGGTGATCTTTCCTCTGCGTTGATCTTCTTCGACCTGGGAGAAAGATTGCAAGTCTCTGAAAAGTTGGCTAAGCGCAAGTTGACTCTGCAACGAATATGTTAGATGGTTATTCAATTAGATAGGTATGAGGGACAGATAACCGGTATGTTGGCCGCACGAGTAGGGAGGTAATTAGGTTACCTCAAAGACTTGGTATCGGACCATGTTGTATCAAACCACCTATATACTTGTATTACAATGAGTATGAGACCTACGACATCCTCGCCTGGCTGAATCTCGGACTTGTTTCTGTGATTGATATGCCGGTACCGCTGACTTGGGCCTGGAATGCAGTGCAAGGTGCGATGCTTCTTTAACAACCCAGAAAAGACGTCGGGTTTCTTCTATCTCTTCCATTAGTTGTGGTAGGTTTGGCTTGAGACGAGGAGCTCACTATCCAGCTATCCATCGTAGGCCGGTTGTTAGGCCTCGAGGCATTTTGAAAGCCAAGTTCGTAGTCGTAAAGCCTTTGCAAAGAAAGGTAAGGTCATTTGTGTAGGTAATTTAATAGCGAAGTAGAAATTCACGAATTGCAAACGAGTTGAATACAAATTCTCTCGATTCCTATTAAGCTTGGTCTTCGAATGTGCTACGCATCAAGGAAAACTTTTCACATTGAAGCAGCAGTCAAGTCAAGGCGCTGAGGCATGCGAGTCAAGCTTCGTTCCCCTATGTTCGATGTTCGATGTTCGATGTTCGATGTTCGATGTTCGATGTTCGATGTTCGAGGCATTGGAAACAATCATTTGTACAATTGATACTTCTACTTCTTGACTCCGTAGTCTTTATTGGCCCTGCAGTTCCAGAATGAAAACGTTCCAGGGGGGAGCTTCTGCACGGCAGGACAGACCAGAATCGGTCCGGTTCGCGCCTGGCGCCCATCACCAATTAATTCTGTGCTCTCTCCTTTTAATATACAGATCACATCCTGTTTTCTTTCTCTTTCACCCGGCCCAACAACTCACCTCTCTCACCTCTCCTCGAAATCTGCCACGGGTCCGAGGCCCAGCTCCCTTCCACCCCATCGCCCTCCGTCCTCCAGCATCACAAGTCAAGTATCGCCGCATCGCCGCATCGCCGCATCGTCGCAGCTTCAATCCCCAGTATGCCCGGATTCTAAGTGAACCATGGCAACGACAATGACAACAACAACAACGACAACAACAACAAAAACAACAGCAACAACAATAACAATAAAAGCTTAAACCTCCTTGACCACCACAACAAACCACTTGCCGCGAGCACATCCGCATCTCGTACAGCCAACAATCGTCTTCAGACCACAGTCCACCCCCACAGTCCACCCCCACAGTTTACCCCCACAGTCTACACAGAGTCTACAACACCACCAGAACCACAGCCACCCCATGGAACAACCACCGGCCCCCAGACCTTCGGGTCTCCCACGACCATCTCGACTTCCCGTCCTCAGCTTGCGATCTGCTTCTTCTAGAGAGAACTTGCAAGCCTCGAGGACTGTTGGTATAAGCAATCCTCGCCTTCGAAGCTCTGCATCCCGCGACACCCTCTCCTCTGCCTACGCGAAGCCTCGTGCTCCTTCAACGACCAGCAAACGCCTGTCCCCCATAGCCCCGCGCGAGCGAGATTTCTCGGGCCCAACAGTGATACACACGCCGGCTGTCGCCCAAACTCTGCAGAGGAGAGCCAGCGAAGATGTGCTGTTCCGAAAGCCCTCCGGGCCGTTTCTGCAGCCACAGCCAGCTCAGGTAGAATTAAAGGAGGACTATGGGGCTATTACAGAGGACGATGGTGCGGTGATGGAAAGTACAAAGCCAAAGGGTGCACCCCGAAAGCCCAGGCCCTCCCTATCCGAACGAACCATGGAGACCCTGCAGAACATACCTTCCTCTCCTGCCCATACACGGAGACGGGGATCCAGCTTCTACAAAGCCGAGAGCCCTTTGAGACCTCCATCCAGGGCCGTCAGCTCAAGGCCGACCTCAAGTGCAGGCTCTGGGATGAGCTCTGCAAACGCAATCCCCATAGACTTCCGGGCATCCACAAACACTTACCGACCTCCGCAATCATCAGTCCATGTGTACGCTCTACAAAAACGTCCCGGCACGGCGGAGTCCGCTTCATACAGGACTCCCTCTACGAGCAAGAGCATGGGACCTCCTGAGAAATCCAGACTCCCTTCACCGGTCGGATCTTCCGTACGGACGTCACCAAGTCCGATCAAACAAGGATCCCTTCCAGTGATCAAAGCAGGAAGCAAGACTCTTGCTGCCAGACCTTTGCAACAGCGACCTTCTGTTAATGGACTTTTTCGAAAGCCCTCTCCACAAACATTAGATCAGCCCGGTGACCTCGACAGGATTGGCTTCGTCAAAAAGAAGCCCGCAACGTTCTCCAACAGCTCCTCGGAAGCGGCATCGACCACTTCCAAGGTCTCGAAAGCGACTAGCGCTTCAACTGCGCCTGCGGATGAGCAAAGTACAACTCCAAGGAAGTCGTCTTCTGCCTTGCGAGACCAGATTGCCAAGGCCAAGGCTGCAAAGCGGGCCGTGGGGGCAAAACAGCAGACAGCGTTTGACGCGGTTGGGTTCCATGGCCTCAAGTCGCCAATAATGGCTTCAGGCACTTTTGATTTTGGACTAGACAATGACCCCTTCAACCAGCAAGTACACCAAGACGGCGCCAAAGGACTTCTCCGGAAGCGGATCGATGCAGCCCGGACCGATGGACGTCTCAACATCGCTGCAATGGGCTTCAAGCAGATTCCGGATGAAATCATGGACATGTACAATCTTGAATCGATTGACGGCCAAGATGGGGCTTGGGCAGAGTCTGTTGACATGACGAGGTTTATTGCAGCTGGAAATGAGCTTGAGTTGCTTTCCGACGATATTTTCCCTGATGTCGACCCACGAGAGACGGCGGATAACGAGAATGCCAAAGGGAATCAGTTTGGAGGTAAGCATGAACGCACAGTAGTGATCGGTATCCTCAGAATTATACTTTCGCTTCGTGATTTGCCTTGAGCTTGTGCTGACATGGGCGCAGGTCTTGAGACACTTGATTTGCATGGCAATGTCTTGATAGCTCTTCCTCTCGGACTCAGGAGGCTGGAGCTGCTAACCACACTGAATCTTGTATGTGACCTTCACATTCATCAAAACGTGCACTAACTTTTCGCAGTCAAACAACAAGCTGGGAAACGATTGTCTCCAAGTAGTTTCTCAAATTCCGTCCTTGCGCGATTTAAAGATTGGCAACAATGGATTAACGGGCCCACTGGATCCCAGCATAACGGCTCTTACGAATCTGGAGGTCCTAGATTTGCAGACCAACTCACTCACATCTCTGCCAGAAGGATTAGCCGAGCTTGTCCGACTGCGAGTGCTCAACATCACGGACAACAAATTCAAGTCTCTGCCATTCGAAAAACTGCGCCACATGCCCCTGATGGAGCTGCTGGCTGCCAAGAACTCGCTAACCGGAACTCTGATCTATGCAGAAGTTGAAGAACTTCGACACCTTCAGATTCTCGATATCACTGCTAACGCTTTGACCAACCTCGATGTTTCGGGGACTTTGAAACTTCCGGCTCTGCACCAGCTCAGCTGTTCGGCAAACCGGCTGACTGAGCTCCCCGACCTGGAAAGCTGGATTTCGCTTCTTACACTATCAGCTGAGGATAACAACCTCGGAGCCATCCCCGACGGCTTCGTCAAGCTTCCCAAAGTCAAGAATGTGAACTTCAGCGGCAACAACATCAAGACACTGGACGACCGGATTGGTGCCATGGAAAGCCTCGATATCTTAAGAATTAGCGGCAACCCACTCAGGGAGAAGAAGTTCTCGGGCATGACCACGGAGGACTTGAAGCGAACTCTCAAGGCCCGAATGGAACCCGAGGAGATTGAAAAGGACATGGAAAACGATGGAGACTTTTCTCTTCCCAGTACTCCCATATCCTCTCGTGCGGTATCTTTAGACTGGCCTGTCAAGGCAGGAGGTGTCCTTGATCGCTCAAACACTCATTCGCACTCACTCAACCCCGTAGCCGCCGCAGACGTCGCTGCGAACCATGCCATCTACACCTTGGACCTGCACCACAACATCTTTAAAGAGATTCCGGCCTCGATTGCCTTCTTCGCCAGCACCTTGACGACGTTAAGCCTCGCTCACAACGAACTCACAAGCGACAGCTTCTTCAAAGACGACCTCGAATTGCCTGTGCTTAAAGAGCTATACTTGACATCCAACACGTTCAACTCGGTCCAGCCCATCATCCAGCACCTCAATGCGCCCATGCTGGAAAAGCTCGATATCAGCTTCAACCGGCTGACTTCGCTACCACCTCTCAAGCCTCATTTTCCCAAGTTGATTACGCTCTTGGCGTCGCATAACACCATCAGGGAGTTGTCACCTGAGTCCGTGAAAGGTCTTCGCGTCTTGGACTGCAGCAGCAATGACCTCAACAGTCTTAATGCTCGAATCGGACTGCTTGGCGGTCCAGATGGGCTGAAGACTTTAGATGTCAGCGGGAATCGGTTCAGAGTGCCCAAATACACTGTCCTCGAGAAGGGGACTGAGGCTACGCTTGCTTGGCTGCGGGACCGGATCCCAGCCTGCGAGGCGAATCTTCTGGAGATGGAGTAACTTGCGCGGCTCTGTAGTGAATGGCCGCCTTGGAAGTGTGTTGGGTTCGTAGATAGATAATTCTGAGCTTGCGTATGGGATGCGAATTGATTCGCTATGGGGAGTTTGGCTAGCGACGAGGGATATCCAGGATAGATAGCATGTTGGAGTTCGTGTGTTTGTTGTTTCCGAACAAGTGACTAATGGATGGAGAAGATGAGAAAGGGAAGGGAGGTGGCTTCTATATACTTAATGAGTGTAGGAAGAAGAGGAGGGAGGAGGATGACTGTTCCGTTTGGGTCAGTGTAATAGATACTTGTAGTGCTATTCATTCGTTCTTCCTCCATTATGACCTGTCTCGACTGTCTCGTGGACAATGATGGGAGGGTGTTACCGACCTTCTAGTCTACGGAGGGATGGGATTCTGTCCTGGGCACGACGGCACTTATTGTAATACACCAAAAGTGACGTCTGCTTTCGATGGTTGCATATCTGTACCGGTATTCCATGCACCCCGGATTTGTCCCCCTGTTGCATATGTCACGTGATGATACCGGGCCAAGTGCATACCGGCAAGGGGCAAGACCGAGGCATTTCCTTTCCACGCCACATGCTTTCTGGCAACGGCCCCCTCGAATCAAGAGCCGACAACACTTCATTTCTCCCAGCGAAAGACAACGCAGGCGTCCGGGGTAGTCAGGAAAACCCCCTCAGATAAGAAAGAAAAGAAAGAGGAGAAAGAAGAGGAAAAAGAGGAAGAAGAGGAAGAAGAGGAAGAGGAAGAAGAGGAAGAAAAACAGAAACAAAAGGACAATAACCCTCCATGCCAGCGTAAAAATCGCAACGACAGACTCCCTTCCAGCATGGCAGACCACACGCCCGGAGGAAGCAAGGACAAGGAAGTGGGTAGGGCCAGCAGCGGAGTGTCGGCGAAATCAACAACGGACCCCATCCTGCGCAATGCGTTGCGGTACACCATTTCGGCCAGGGAGTACGAGACGCTGCATAGGTATATCCTGTCCAGGTCGAAGGTGCTGAAGAGGGCTACGCCGAGTGTAGCGCGGGTGGAGCGGTTGGAGACTCAGCTGAGGGGAGGTGTTGGGGCGAGTGGGAGTCCTACCGGTACTGGAGAGGGAGGGCACGTCGCTGTCGGCGTGGGTGGGGGAGGCTTCGGCGCGGATTACAATGCTGCTGCTGTGAGGGCTAGTGTGAGGCTCTTTGTGGCCAGTAATGCTGCGTTGAAGGTCTGGGGGTTGATTGCTGAGCGGGTGCTGGGGAGAGTGAGGGACGTGAGGTATGTATACGCCATTCTTGCTTCATAAAGCCCTGGGGATTTCGAGATACACTTGAAGGCAGATCAGTTGTTAACGATTTGTAAACAGGTCCAAGAATCCCCCCTTCTACCGCTCCCCCAACTTCCGGCTCTCCCTCTCCCTCAGCACAATCCTGCTCCTTCATAGACTCCTCTTCCGCTTCTTCACGCGCCTACGACTGCATCTCCTCACTCCCGAAGCGCGTCCCTTCCGCGAGCGCAATAAACGCACCTCCAAGACCCTCACATCTTCCCTCGCTCCGGCGATCGGTGCCAGTTTGGCCGGCTTCGCATTGGCAATCAACCCGGCTGAGCAGCTCCGAGTTACCATTGCCATTTACGCGCTCTGTAGAGCGGGGGAATTTGGATACAGACTTGCCGAGAGCGAGGGGTGGATATGGAAGAAGGGGGTAAATGGACAGGGGTTGGAGAGGCCGTGGTGGTGGGGTAGTTGGCTGTTGTTTCCGCTTACGAGTGGACAGCTGCTTCATGCCTTTGTTTTTGACCGGGACTGTTTTCCGAAGGTATTTTGGTCCAATTTTCTCAGAGGAAAAGCTGCCATGGCGTCCGATGGAGATGATCGATGTATGGATGCTGATTTGACCACAGGCATACGGAGACTTCATCATGAAGTACTCGCCGACATACGCACATTCCCGACCAGACGACTATCCGAAGAATCTACCCTGGCCAGGTCAATACCAGATGGTCGACTCGCTTGCCGAGATGGCGAAACTCAGATACCCGTAGGTTCCCTTATCCCGACTTTGCTTGATGTGGCTCACATTTGAACAGCAAATTCATCTCCCCAATCCTGTTCCCAAACACCAGCACTCTCCCCCCAAGCCTCTCCGCCATCTCTCCTATAGCATCCCCAGCGCACCCTCTCATAACCTCACTCACATGCGCAACTCTCCACCCCACCGACCCATCCTGCATGAGGACATACGTCTCCCACTACTTAACCACAATCCCACCTCTCGCCCGGTTTTTCACCCTTATATTCTCCCTCCTCTCCCTCCCAGCTTACAAACGCTTCTACAACTCCCCACTTACGTCTCTTAACTCCCTCGCCTCCCGTATCCTCCGCTATTCTCTCTTCACATCGGGCAGTATTGGGACTTCCTGGGCCGCAATCTGCTTCTTCCAGCAATACTTCCCTTCCAAGCTCCTCTCCACCCAGCGTTTCTTCCTCGGAGGCATGCTCGGTGGCCTGTGGGGCTTCGTAGTCAGGAGAGAAGCGAAAGGCGAGTTCATGTACGCGCTCCGGGCGAGCATCGACAGCGCGTGGAAGGTTGGCAAGAAGAGGGGGTGGTGGAGTGGGGTCCGGGGCGGCGACGTGTGGATCTTCGTGACGAGTCTGATGGTTATCAATGCAGTCTTTGAGAGGGACAGCGGGGCTGTGGATTCCGGCGTTATGCGGAGGTGTCTTACCTTTCTCCGAGGAGAGGGGCTCATTGATAGATATGGAGAGGAAAAGAAGAGGATTCAAGAGGAGGAGAAGAGGAAGATGCTGTGAAGGGAGCTCCGGCAGGACTACGCTCACGCTACGGATTTCTGCAGGGGGTAAATAGAGGAGACTTGGAAGGGGGGATGGTCTAGGGACGGTACGCTAGAGATATTAATGCTGTTTTCCTCGAGTTTTGGAGCGGAAAGAAAGAGTGGGAGGAAGGAACGAAGGGTGGTGGTGCATCATGATTTCCACGATTCTTTACTATACTTGTTGGGGAGGCAGTTTTGGAAATGGTTGGAGGGGGGAGTTTGGGGGGGG